GGCTCAGCCGCCCAGGCAAGCTCCGGCTTCTTCACTTTCCTAATTTGATGCTGCTGTGATTTTCTGGGGGCCGGGGCCAGGGAGAAACTTTGGATGTCGTACAGCAATATCAGAAGTACCTGTTCACGGGCAAAATGTCAAGTCTGAAATATGTGACTGGCCAGAAGCATTAAATCAGTACCTCAGTCCCCATGAACACGGGGCATAAGAATTTGGCAAGCCCGGCCACCTGAGACCTTCAGAACATGTTTAGTCTGGAACTCCTGCAGGGCCTGCAGCTCACCCCCTCTCGCTCCCCACCAATGCTCTCTTAGCAGAGAAGTCCCATGGGCCTCTCTCTCTGCTGTCCACACACCCTCGCATTCCCCACAGAGAGCAGACAGACCCTGAGCCGGGCTTTAGGAACAGGTGGCAGGAATCTCTTCTGAGGGCTTGCCAGTCCGTTTTGCACTGGTGGCTGAGATCTGCTCTCATAGCCCACCACCAGGCAGCCAGCTTGCAGAGGGAGACAGTGAACGCTTTCCCTGACTCTCCCTGATGCTTGGAGGCACCCGACAGTCACCAAGAATCTGACATGTTGGCTTAGGTCGGTTTCCAAGGCCAAGAAAAGAGGCCCCAGGTTTGGAAGGATGCATTGGGGTTCAAGGGAACAGGAGGGCAGTCTTGGGGAGGGGAGGCGGCTTGGGAGGGTGGCTTGGAGCCCCAAGGCTAAAGCGTGTGGCTCATTCTATAGTGTTTCCCGACTGGACTGTATCCCCTCCCCAAACACCAGGATTCACAACGTAAGACTTAATGGAAGAAAGAGCTGGGAGAAACCCAAGTGATGACAGAGACCCGTATATTTATAACCCTCATTGCAAGTAACGGGCAGAGGCTCTGGGTGACGTTTTCCACCCTTTAATAAGGGGTTCTCTGCAACACGTTTCCATGTCCCACCCTCGCACAGACTTTTTTTTTTTTTTGCTTTGCTTCAGACACCATGGATACCGGGAGGCACAATGTTTCCAAGGCTCATGCTCCAACCAGATGTTCGAAGCCTCGTGGATTTATAATTTGGAGTGCCTCTCACAGCCCAGGGGCACTTGTGGTTTGCCTCACTGGCTCCCTGTGCTCAGGTTATGGAAAAGGTATAGGGGTGTACTTCACCTAACTAGAATGTCGTTTAGAGGGACCTTCAGGTGTTCGGGGTGGGGGGCGGGGAGGCTGCTTTCTGCAGATGTGCCCGGGGCGGGTTTGCTTCTCGCTTTCCTCCCTCCCGCATCTGGGCTTTCCACACTCAAAGCTATCCTAGTAATTCCTGCTTCCTCCAATTTGGAGCCGCTTCTCAAGTGACAGAAACATCAAAAATCACCAGGGGAAGCTGTTAAACATGCAGATTTCTGGGCCAGATTTAGATCTCCTGAAAGAGAATCTGCATCTTAATGAGCTGGGCTTGGAGAGCGTGCATTTTAACAGGCCAGGGCTGAGTAATCTAAATTCAAATTTTTTTTAAATTGAGAAATATAATCAGAAGAATAGCTTTCTGTATGTAATTGGAAACAGTAATGAAGCAAACACCCACGTGTGAACACAACCCAGATTAGGAAATAAAGCATCGGTGGTCCCTGGAAGCCCCCTGCAGGGCCTGTCTGGGCACTGTGTCCTCGTGTCCCCACGTCTGGGTACTGTCCTGAGCTTTGAGATGGCCAGTCCCCTGCCCATCACTATTGATGGTGGTTTATAAATACATCCTAGAAAAATATATTCTTTTGCCTATTTAAAAATTATATAAAATGAGGTCTGGCTGGTGTAGTTCAGTGGATTGAGCACCAGACTGCAAACCAAAGGGTCACCAGTTCGATTACCCATCAGGGCACATGCGTGGGTTGTGGGACATGTCCCCAGTGGGGGGCACTGAAGAGGCAACCACACATGGATGTTTCTCTCCCTCTCCTTCTCCCTCCCTCCCCCTCTCTACAAATAAAATCTTTTTAAAAATGTATACAATGAAATCATCAGGTTACCTACATGTAAAACAAATACCTGTAAAGAAGTTAAAACTTTGCCTGACCCATTCAAATATAATACAGTCAGTTCAGGAATGGGAGCCGGGACTTGCGTCTTTCTTCATGTTCTTGGTATAATTTGAATTTCCCGGAGGCACGTCACTTTTATGGTCCGTTAGTGAAACACACACCGTGGCCCCCGCTTTTTTACCCTCAGCGCAGGCCCCAGCCTTCAGCGAACGGGCAGTGGAGAAGTGACAAGCCAGGCAAGCCCTCGCTGCAGGGGCTGCGCCGAGTCTAGACCTTGAGCTCTACTGAGCAGCCAGGTCTGGCCCAGCCCAGACACCCAGGGGGACATTATCTGGCCGGTCAATGTCCTCTATCATAAGGGCACTGCCAGCCACCCAGGAGGCAGGGGGATGCCAAGAGAAGGGAGGACAGGGTTGGCGTATGACCCCCATCGTGTGGTCCAGCCACCCCTAGGGCCGGGCGAGCCCACGCCTCTCTGAGCTGTCACGTTCTTCTCAGTAAAATGGGCAAGAGGGGACTCAGACACGAGCTCCGAGACATTTTCAGTGAATCCCCTGGCACTTGAGGCTTGGGGCTGAAGCTGCTGAGGGGCTAAGGAGTCAGCCTGGGGGCTGTTTTTTGATGCACCCACCTCCCCGAGAGATGCCCCAGGAAGGGGCGGGACTGGCGCAGGCTTGTGGGTCTGGCTGTGGGAAACAGCCAAATGGGCCAGTGGCAAATAAGGGCCAAGTGGGCCTGCTCTCTCTTCCCCATGACAAGCAAGCCCTGTTGGGAATAGTTGTACACCTGCCCCCTCAAGTTCATGCCAATTAACTAACTCTCATTGGAAAGCCAATTCCTTCTAAAATACGGTGTCCGAGCTGCTGGCTGACATGACTACCTGCTCCAGTTTCCACCAGCTGAGGTCCCTGGGGCCCGAACTCTGACGAAGGCCTCTAACCCCACGCGTGCCCTTTGCTCCCTCCTTCCCTGGCCTCCTTGGCTGTCGTCATTTTCCTGGTGGACTGGAAAGCGGAGGGCAAGGGGCTGAGCAGTCGCTGGTGCCACAATTCCCGCTGGCCCGGGGCCAGCTTAGATAATCCATCGCATCACCCTCAACGCCCCCTCACTTCCTCTCGGATGGCTATGAGAAGCATCTGGAAAGCCGACAGCTGCTGCCTCCCAGCCCAGAGAGGGCGGTGAGGTAATGGCCATACATAGTCTGACAAGTGCTGGGTGAAGGGGGCTCTGTGTGGAGGAGAGTGCGTTACTGTTACTGTCCCTCCCCGAGCCACCGGGAGCACCGCGCTGGTGTCCGGCACCGTGGGAGACGACAAGTTAACCGGGTGTTCCTGCCCCCACAAAAGCATCTTTCATCCCGCAACAGAGTCCAGATTGGAGGGGAGATTTCACTCCACACTGGCCCGAGACAAGCAGCTCTGCTGAAGTCCCCGACCACCCCGCCCCCCACTCATTTCTGAGAACGCGTCCTGTAACCCAGACAGCGAGGGAGGCGGGCACGCGAAGTGGAACGACAGGAAGACTGCTACGGAAGGACGAGAAGTGCTCGGATGAGGCCGGGGCCGGCCCTGGAAGAGCAGCCGTCACCTGGGCTGATGGGTGTCCCAGGACACTGAATGACTGTCCAGAGAAGGTGACTCTAAGCAGAGAAGGGCAACCCCCGTGGGAAAGGAGGCTCTGGCCCGGGTGTCAGCAGGAGACAAAGGCCTGGGTGAGCTCACCTACGTGCCAGACACCTGACAGCTGTGAGAAATGGAAACTGAGTCACACCAGGCAGCAGAGGCACCTTCCCGTCCACCCCTCCAACCTCCTGCAGCCCTGCCCTCCTGGGAGATTTGGTCGTGCTCACCCAGAGCAGACTCTGGAGGGTAAGGACCTGGGAGATGGAGCTTCTGGCCACGTGACTTTTCAGAAGGCCGCAGTGGCAAAGACAAGTTCAGCCCTCCGTGTTTTCACCTCTAATCAGAGTCCAAGTGGCTCGGCCCACAATCCAGCCTCCTCCCTGGGAAGGGCTCCAAACCCAGAGCGAGCGGCTGGGGAGAGCCCGGTGTCTGGGATGGCCCTTTGTTCCTTTGACTGACATTTTTATTGCATAAATGTGACCTTCCCCTAAGTAGTATTTTTAGTGTAAAAAAACGTATGATACACTAACCATCCTCCCAGATGCGGTCACTGTAGTCTTGTGTACCCCTCAGGGCCACCTAGAAACACCTGGATATGCTCTTCTCTGCCCCCAAACTGCTTCCCCCAGCCATGTCCCACATGGAAGAGTTGTAGTGTACGTAAGTGCTTAACTTGCATGTTTTTATTTTTATTTAAAAAATTTTCCCTGTTAATTTGAGAGAGGCAAGAAAGGAGAAATAAATTTGTTGTTCCACCTATTCATGCATTCAGGCTGCTTCTCGTCTGTGCCCTGACTGGGGATCTGAACTGCAACCTTGGCGCACTATCAGGACCACGCTCTAACCAACTGAGCTACTGGGCCAGGGCCACTTTCGTAAATGTAATTCTCTGCCTAATCGAGTATATGCCCCAGAGTAAGTGAGACTTGGGCACGTGATATAGGGTGTCAGGTCTCTCATGCGAGCCTAGTATTTAAAGAAATAGTTTCCCCGTAAGTTTCTAAATTCAGGGCAGGTACTTACTCCATGTGGGGCTCGAATAGGGAGGTGGTGACCAGTCCCAATGCCAAGGGGCCCTGCATGCTGACCAGGACAGAGAACAGTCGGGACCAGGTGCCATTTTGCCATCTGCTCGACGCAGGACGCAGCCCCCGTGAGATGCCTCCACTAGTCACGTGCTGTTCCCCTGCTTTTCCGTTTACCTTGGAAGTCACTCCTGAGCTGTGTCTATAGATCGGCCTTGTTCTTTAAGTGCTCGCTGCCAGCTATCCCACGTCGAGAATGTTTGGGATGCTCTTTGGAAAGAGTTCTATTTTCATACCACAAAGGAAAGAGAAATGTCACCATTAAAACAGACACAAACCAAGAATATAACATTTTATTCACTTCCCGATTTTGAGTATTACACAGCATATACATACATTTGAATAACATATAACAAAGAACAAACCATAGAAAGACATGTTGGTCTGAAATTGACACTTTAATTCTGTAAGCTCGTGGTAACGTACCTCCCCACAGGCTGGGGCGGGCGGCGGGACAGACTCCGGCAGTCGGGTACCCCCCCCCCCCGTACTTACAATGCAATTACGGACGGCGTGGTCACTGGTGTCCACAAGGGACACTCAGCAGCAGATAAAAGAACCACAGCACAGTGAACTAATATAAATATTTTTTTTCTGCATTGTCCTCCAGATAGTTTCTTTTTCAAAACAAGAGTCGGGCCCAGGGTCCACCGCTTTCATGGCATTCCAGTTATTGCTGGAGAAAACAACAGACAGAAAAGAGGCATCACTTCAGGTTACTAGAAGAGAGAGGGTCAGTGCCACCGACCCCCACCTCTGTGACACTGGGGGTGCTGAGCTGCAAGGCAATGCGCACTGGTCAGCGGCAGGCGGGCGGGCGGGCGCCCACCACTGTGCCGGAGGGGCCCGAGGTGGGGCTGACGAAGGTCCCACAAAAGAAGGCCTGTGGGCAGGGAGCAGCAGGGGCCCCGCCCAAGGAGGAGGGAGAATGACAGGACCCTTCCCAGGACCATCCCCAAGTCGGACCGTGCGATGGAAAGGCAGTCCGTTCTCCATGTCAGCGTGGAGAGGCTGTGTCGCCGGGCTCAGAGCGGGGCACGCTGCCGCACACAGCGTCCCCACCTTGCTGCCGAGTCTTCCTCAGAGGGGCTGGCTCACCTTCGCCTTGTTCTGCACCGGGAGGTAGAGTTTGAACTCTGCTGGCAGTTCATCTTCTGAGTACAGTCTGTCTGAGAAGTAGACCCGTCGGATGCGACAGTTGGCGTGGATCTGGGGGTGCAGGACTGGTTTTGAGAAACGAAGCATGACCGACCTTCCTCACTTCCTGACTCTCCTAGGGCTCCCCACCCCACGGTGCCGTCAAAGCCCCACCCCCTTGGCGCCTCCTCGGACCGGCCTGCGCTGGACTCTGACAAGAGGGAGAGCTGCTTGTCATATTCTCCCGCGGCATCTGAGCCGAATCCGGAATGCATCCCAGAACCCTCTGAGGTCAAGGCCCCCTGGACAGTCACTGGGAGGCTTAAGGCAGAAACCCACTCTTGTGCCACGTGGGACACAGCCAGGGAGAGAGCACCCCGCTCCTGTTCAAGGCTCCATCGGGACGAGGACCAGGCACCTGAACTCTTAGGGTCTCGATGTAATTGGTGCCGTACGCCCGCCGAGTGAAGTCTGACAGGTTGAACTGAATCTGGTTCCAGCCTTCATCCAGCCGCATGGGCATGGTGCAGATGAAGGGCTTGACCCGCGTGGTGCTCTGGTAGTTGCTCGCCCGGAACCGCCGACGCACATTCTTGTCATCCAGCACCTGTGACGTGTACACAGGTCATGTTCACTCCACCCTGGAAGACGCTGACCACCTTGGACAGGCGAGGACCTGACCCCTAAAGGCTGGTTTCCCCGGATGAGACCCGAGGGAGAACAAACAGACCAGACCCAGGTCGCACTGGGTGAAGATGGCCTGGAAGTAGCAATTTCATCTGATTTGTTGCCAGGACAACGCCAGCTGCTCATGACATATGACACACCCGTCAGGCTCTCAGGCCATAAAGTGATTTCATAAATACCCTTTAAAAATAAAAAATGCTAAAATAGAGACCAACGACAACCCAGTATTAAACAGTTACTCCCCACATGGACCCTACACTCTAACCCTTAAGCTTTGAAATCTTATCACTAAGATTAGACTTACTGCATCTCTTTAATATTTTATTCATTTATTTGTTTTTAGAGTCAGGGGAAAGGAGGGAGAAAAAAAAGAGAAACAATGATTGGTTGCCTCTCGCACGCCCCCGACTGGGGACCACAACCGAGGTGGGTCCTGACTGGAATCACACTGGTGACCTTTTAGTCCGTCAGTCGGCGCTCAGTCCACTGAGCTACGCCAGCCAGGCCTACCGCAGCTCTTTAAAAACTTGGCATTAAATTATGATTACTAATACCAAATGTATGTTATAATAATTAGGGCTGAAAGCAAAATGCAACCAGAGACACTGAAATAAAGAACAAATTGACAGTTATCCAAGGGCAGGGAGTGAGATAGTAGGGGGAAGGGCCACCAAGGAACATGTATAAAGGACACATGGGCAAAGCCAAACGGTGGGTTCTGGGGTGGGAGGCAGAGATGAGTGGGATGGGGGGGCGTGTGAAAATGGAGACAACTGTACTTGTATAACAATAAAAAATAAATGAATGGATGAATGAATTAGGGCTGAATCAAGTGTACGGATCAGGCAGAAGAGAAGACACACGGAAGGACAGAGGCACTTCCCGAGGGCGCTTTTCCCCTGCAGGCTGACGGGACAGCCCTCTGGGACAGCCAAGAGCACGCACGTTCCCGGGCACACACTTACCTGCACTTCAAAGGTAAAATATTTCTTCAGGTTTTTGATAATCATGACAAGGAATGGAAGTTTAATCCCCAGGGTCTTTTTCGGGTCTGCAGGACACGTGATGTATGTGGTGCTGTGGGAAGAGACACCATCACACACTCCCAGTCCCTGCCTGGGTGGCACGCACGGCGGCGGCACGCGGCGTGGAGGGCGCACTGGAGGGCACAGCCGAAAGACCTGGATACCCTGACCGACGGCCCTTCAACCCTCAGGTCAGCTAGTGCTTTAAAAAATGCTGGACTCGGAAACGGAAGCTCAGCACGGGACTAGACATCAGCAGTAAAATACCTGAAAAGCAAAGTCAGGCCAGTGGACCTGAGGAAGTTCTTCAAGCGACAGAAGATCCAATTCTGATCCAAGAAAACCAGCAAATGATAGAAAACCAGAACACCGTTGTGGCACCAAAAAGCCCAGCGGCCACCCACTGGAGGATCCAAGCAACACTCTCCCAACCCACACACGTATGTACACACACACACACACACACACACACACACACCCTGGTGAAATATGAGCAACGGCAGATGCTTGCACAGCACTTAATTAGTGCTAAGCAGGTTCTAGGTGTTTCGTACACATTCCCTTATCTAACCTTTGCATAACCCTATATGGAAGATGCCCCGTATTACTTGTATTTACAGAGGGGGCCAAGGCACCTGCCCAAGGTGAGCTCCTGCGCTCACACCAGGCATCTTCTGTGCCCTGCACCATGGTGATGCCCCGCCTCCCTGGGGGATAATGTCTCCGGGAGAACAGAGTGGCGGCCTACCTGACATTGGTCCCTTCAATCTCTAGCACCAGAGACTGGATGTCATTATCAGTGATTCTTTTGATGTGGCCATTCCGCACCTGTGAGGAAGAAAATAGGTACTGAAATATTTGGCGACAACTTTGCTAAGATTTTGAAGGCTGAGTGGGACCATTTAAAGAAAATCACATTGGCCCAAAGGGGCATAACACAGAAGTTCGAGACGCACTATGCTGAAGCTTCTGCGTAAGGAAACCACGCTGTTACTGCCGTATGGGGTCCACCACAGGGGTCACAGGCAGCTTGGCAATCTACAGATCAGGATACATTTCTTCCCAAAGAAATCAACTCCATTCCGATTCAGCTAACAGTGAGTTCCTGCTATGCATGAGAACATTCACACACATGGTCTCACTTAATCCCACCAACAGCAACACCAAAAGTCACAATGGAGATGGCACTGTTTCCACTTAATGGACGTGGACAATGACACCCAGGAAGCGCAAACGATAGTTCCCAGGTCAGGAGTTGGGATTAACTACCAGGTCCCCACTGCCCTGTATTGTCCCATACACTGCTTCAGCCAGAAAGGCCACATGCCGCATGTCCCCGAGGAAGGGCAACCAAAAACTGAGAGTGTGACTCCCCCAGCTTTGCTTCAGGCTTCCTCGCCTGTCCCCTGAGTTTCTGCTTTTTCAGGTATGAACTCGGGTCCCGGTCATGCCCCATCAGAAGCCTTCGTCAGCCCTTTCAGCCCACACCGACCTCCCTTCCCTCAGACTTTTCTGGCTCCGGCCACCCGGACAGCACAACTCAGCCCTTCACCTTGCATCGCTCAGCTGACCGCGCACGCAGGAGGCACGAGATGGGGACGAGCCAAAATTCAATACCGACTCCTGCTCTCCCACTATTTTGGAAAGACAAAATACCTCCAAGCAATCAACTCTTAAGCACCTAACAGGGACAGAGCCGGGATGTGCAAAGATGCTTCTGAGCCAGGGCTGGATATCGACATGCAAAAAAGACCAACCAGGTTTCCAGCATAATTGATCAGAAAGACACCTTCTTTCTTCCCTAAGGACAGTGAGAACGGCTATGTTGGGTGTTGTATCCAGGACACAGTCACTTGGCTTTCCACTAGGTTTGTATAAGGGAGAGAACCCAGTGTCGAGTCTGTCTGGGAGCTGTGTTTTCCTTTTATTGTTGTTCAGTTACAGTTGTCCCACTTTCCCCCTGATGCTCACCCCTGCCCCGCCCCCCACCCCATAGTCAATCCCCGCCCCATTGTCTGTGCCCACGGGTCCTTTACACATGTTCCTTGACTTGCTCCTTCCCCTTCTTTCCCCCGTTATCCCCCTCCTTCCTCCCCTCTGGTCACTGTCAGTCTGTTATTTCCGTGTCTCTGTTTCTCTTTTGCTCATTTGTTTTGTTGATTAGGTTCCGCTCACAGGTGAGATCACATGGTATTTGTCCCTCATTGCCTGGCTTATGTCACTTAACATAGTGCTGTCTAGTTCCATCCATGCTGTCATGAAGGGTAGGAGCTCCTTCATTCTTTCTGCTACGTAGTGTTCCACTGTGTAAATGTACCACAGATTTTGATCCACTCGGTTACTGACGGGCACTGATGGCTGTATTTTTCAGCATGTCTGAGCCTTGTTACTGTGACTTTGACCCACTCCAGGGGTGCATGGTGTTCCCCAAGGGATGTCTGATAGCACCGCCCATCTTTTTCTACGAGATGCCATTGCGGAGTCTTGCCTCCTTAAAAAAGTGTTAGCTCAGCGGTAGGAATTGCATATTAAGGATAGTTTGTATCTCTGTAATGCTTAGTACTGTGCTAGGCATGAAGTAAGCATTCAAATATTTGCTGACTTCTGGAATTTGTCACTCTAGGAGTTGGCACATATGAATAATTTCGAGAAGGATTTTTTAAAAGTTCCTGGATAACATATCCACCGTGCATTATCAGAGGAAGCCAGAGCTCCCGGGTGCATCACAAAGCCCACGAGGCTGCCGGCAGAAAGGATGCTTTCCCACAAATCGCTCTTTGGGGCCCATCCTCAGAGACCGGTTTCTGGGTGGACATACCCCAGCACTCTGCCAATGTGGCATTTCTGGGGTTCTCAAGACACAAAGGTCACATTGAAGTGCTTCTCAAACAAAGCTGCTGACACCCGAGGCCCTCCTGCTTTGGACTCTAGGCCTTTTTCCAAGGGAGATTAAGGGCACAAAGGCTTGGGTCCAGGCGGCACATGCCAACACTGCCCACCTCATTCCCCACAGAAGCGCTCCCGTCCGAAGGGGTGGTGTTCCCCGCCATTCGCCAGCCCGCAGTTGCTGTGGAAGATCAGGCGGTGCTGATAGAGTCATTAGTGGTGAAACTATTCCCAAATAATGCGATGCAGTCCCATTGATAAGAGCTGGCAGCAATCTAACCAGATGCAAACACCAATATTATAACATAGTAGCTAATTATTCTCTGTAATATAACTTCCTTTTTCTTCTTTAAAAGCTACGTAAGGCAACACTCAAACAGATGCTTAAGTTGAAAGGATTAGGTCATTAGTACCCAAGGGCTACTCTTGCTAACACGCAGCATGTTGCAATGAATCCAACACTGTTCGAAAGTGTAGCCTGTATCCACAAGGTCTTTCAGGCCAGAGCCCACGAGAAGCCCCCCTCTGCTCCAGAGAGCCTTTTGCCGGATTTCACAGGGAAGACATGGGAGGAAACTGCCTTCTGCCCATCCCGAGGTTCCCAGCAGATGACTTCACTCTAGCGCACCGGACGACTCAGGTCTTCACCGGGGAAGACAGTGCCTGCACCGCACGCAGACGCCAAAGGGCCGGATGCCCAAACCGGCTCTGTGTGTCCCTAGGCCTCTGCCGTTGATGCGAGCGAACTCGGAGCTGGACTCTCAGTGACTTCGAGTCTTCTGTCGGCCACACAGCAGCACCCTTAGTTCTTACAGAATTAACTAACGTGGCCCCGGAACAGCAGGACCCAGAGGGACCAAGGCAATGCCCATCAGTTTCTCTGGAGTTTTAACCTGGCTGGTGGTAAGACAAGCTAAGGAGAGCTTTGCCCAAGGAGAAAGTTGAGTCCTCAAAGAAGAAAAACAAAAGTGTACTCATATCACAAGCTGCCAGAGCTTTGAAATCAAATCACCATATTTTGCGTGTTCAATGTGCTCCTGTGTATAATGTGCACCCACATTTTTGACCCCAACTTTCAGAGGAAAAAGTCTTTTTGTTTTAATTTTTAAATTCAATTTACTTACTTTCTTATGTTTACATATTTGGTTTTTTGTACTATAAAGGAACTTTAGCATTTATTTTTTAACATATAATGGCACAAGAAATTTTATGTAACAATCACAAAACACAAGAACAGATGCTGGTATTTCAGGTACCACCCATGTGTAATAGGCATCCTTATTTTTCCCTCAAAAAACTGGGCAAAAAGAGTGTGTATTATAAATGGCAAAACATGGGGTAAACTGATGTGTTAGTGAATTATGATTTTCCTCCTTTACTGGGTTCAGAGGGCTGCAAATACAAGCCCCTGGGGAGAAAAGAGTAGGACGGGACAGGAAGCGGGAGGGAGGCCCCCACAATAACTCGGAGACCTGAGACCCGGTGGGTGGGACCTCCAGGGGGCCTCTCCTCCAGGCTCCACCACTAGCTGGAAAGAGGGATGGGGGCAGTCAGTTTGGGACGAGGCTTCAGAAGGCCGCCGCGCCGAGGCCTGGCTCATACACATCTCCATGTCTTCCAGGACGCCATCCCCCCTCCATCCTTCAGACAAGCCTGCACAAGACACACAGCCTCAGAAAGCAGCGACTTCCTTTCCTTAGCTCCTTCCAGGCCAGAGGTCACCAGGCAGGCCTGGCTTTGAAATGAAGATAAAATGAACCGCCCAGCATTTATTGCTTATGGTGGAAGCAGGTTTTATTTTACTTTCCTCTCTAAATTAGAAAGTGCCAATCATTTTTGACTTAATTCTTTTTTACTTCTTAACACATTCCCACGATCAAAGTGTGGCCTCCAAGTGTTTCATTCTTCCAATAAATAAATAAATAAATAAATCTAATCTTACATTTTAAAAAATTAACCCTCCACCACACTACAAGCTGGAGGTACTTTAGGAGCTTTGGAATCGGGCTGCCGACAGCTACAAATCAGAATGGCCCCCAGCCTCTGCAGACACCTCCGAGGGAACCATCATGCCTTCCCTTCCCCACAATCCCTCCCCAAGGCTTTCCTCGGTTGCTTGGCAACTAATACAGAACACTGACTTAAGCCCCAGGGAGGAGGGTCAGGCTGAGGGGAAAAAATACTATTAGGAGAGGGAGGAAGCTGGCCAGTGCGCTGCATTTCTACAGGTGCTTTAAAAATAAAACCAGGATTGTATCCATTCCCTACCCCCACCTTTCCTTTTTTCCCCTGACTCCACCCACTTACCCTGGCCAGCCCTCAGCCATCTGGTATCTTAGTCTTAATGACACTGGCTCCAAGTCACAGGCTCCAGCTGCCCTTAGAGCTGTCCATTTCAGCAAAACCCAGCCTGCTAGGGGCTGAACTCTGTCACAAGGCAGGCAGAGGGAGACCTCTGTGGGGAGATTTGGGCATAGCCCTGACTCAAGGCCTTGGCCTTGCAGGCTCCAAAGGGCCAAAGGTATCTCTCCTTTACACCTAACACGGACTATCTGTCCAGACAGCAGATGGACAACTCTGGGCGTATACAGCAAACCCTTATTTAGAGTAAGGACAATTGTGTGCGTTGCTAACCAGTAGCTTCCTAACCACTTTGAAAAGGGCACGTGTGCGAGCCAGGCCTTCACCCAATCATGGCCAGAGCTATCACTCACCGTGATGGAGAGCATCATCAGACTGACCTGGGCACGGTCTGAAAAAACAGTTCCACTACCTTCTTGTCCTTCATTCTACTACTGGAAATTGCATCAGTTTAACATACACCGACAAGGTTTACTAATTAGAAGCTAGTGCGTGGGAGGTTCTTTTTTTTTCCCCCCCTGGAGACTTCATTTTTTTAAATTAGGAGCAGGAAATGGGAGTCTAACAGTGTCCAGCAACAACCACAAAAACTCTGGTTCTAACATTTAGTTTGGGAACAGGGGAGGGTCAGCAGCCTCGGAGAGGAAGCAACGTGAAGAGGGAAGAAAGGCAAAGCAGCTTGTGTGAATTAACACTGTCATCTAACAGACTTGGGGTATTACCAGGAAAGACTGAAACGCTGTTTGACATGGGGATTAAGTGGGAGCAGAACCTCCTGGTATAGTCTTTATAAACCAGAAGTAATGTTTACATTACACACGAGAGTCCTTTAATAAATGCAGTACTTTCTGGGCCCAGAAATTAAGGTGACATTAAGTAACCCCGAATTTCTCCCAAACTCTTGGCTTGAAAAATTACAAAGGTTTCTACCAGAAAGCTTACATTCCAGCCAGGAAGAGAGAGCTTAAGAAGCCAATTTCAAGTGTGACTGACCATGATAAATAGGAAGGAGAGAGTTGGCAAGTGGACAGAAATTAACCCACGGAAGCGCCTTCAGGTCTCTAGGCCGTGACCGAGAAACCACTGTAGAGGTGGGGGGTGGGTACAGTGAAGGGACATGACAAGTACAAAAGCCTGAAGGTAAGAGAAAGACTCCTTTAAAAAAAAAAAGTTTATTGATTGATTTGAGAGAGAGAGAAAAACACCAGTCTGTGGTCCCACTTATTCATGCCCTCACTGATTGATTCTTGTATGTGCCCTGACTGGGCATCGAAGCTGCAACCTTGGCACGTCGGGGAGGGGGGGATGCTCTAACCAACTGGGCTACCTTTCAGTTCAGCAGACAGGCGGCCGGGGGGGGGGGGGCGGGGGGGGCGGTGAGCCCGGAGAACTGGGTAAGCAGGTACCAGATGGCGTTAAAGGTTCCAGACTGGGAACAACACGGTGATGCGACTCCATTTTTCTGGTTCCCAGTCTGGTTTCACTGTACTTCCCAGTCCTCAGCATCTGAACACTGGGATCATATATAAACTTCTTTACTCTTGAGCAAATTCCTTCGTTTTCTGCCCCGTTGAATGCCATATGCTGTAACTCTGCTGCTAAGCACTTTACACACATCTTCACTCAATCTGCAGAACCATGAGAAGGAGCTGGCATTACCACAAGAGGAAACTGAGCAGTTAAGTATTTGGCCCAGGCTGTGCAGCAGGGGGCAGGCACAGAGCCCGGTCACTAGTCCAAGGAGTCCGATCACGTGCTAACGCTGGGGGTTCCAGGGAAGAGATTCTTCTTCCCCTTAGGGAACTGGTAGGATCGTGGGGGATACCTCACTGAAGCTCTCAATGAAATGTTTTTTTAACAGATTTCATTTATTTCCTTATTTATTTTAGAGAGAGGGGAAAGGAGGGAGAAACGGAGGGAGTAAAACATTGATGTACAAGAGTAACATGGCTCAGTTGCCTCTCACGTGCTGCAACTGGGGATCTGGACCAAACCAGGCAAGTGCCCTGACCAGGAATCAAACTGGCAACACTTTAGTCCAAAGGCCAGCCCTCAATCCACTGAGCCACACCAGCCATTTATCAGTGAACTAACGTGTAAGTTGAGATTTGAAGGATGAGATGGGGAGAGAGGCTATGAACCTCAAAGAGGCGAATAAACGCAGGAGTTACAAACGTAACCATGCCCATAAATATGGAGTCTGCAGTCCCAATGGCATTTTGAAAATACCAGTCACTCCTCATATTCACAAGGAGACACAAAGCCTAAACAGAAACCAAACCTGACTTTCCCAAAACTATTCTTCAGAGAAATTCTCTCTTCGTAAACTCAGGAAGAAAAACAGTAAAGTTCTATAAAATCAAAATAATAACCGAAAATACACACTATAGCTAATATGTGCCTAGCGGCAAAGGTCAGGGTCATTTCTTAAAAAAAAAAAAAAAAAAAAGATTTTATTTGTTTATTTTAAGGGAGACGGGGAGGGAGGGAGAAAAAGGGAAACATCAGTGTGTGGTTGCTTCTCGTGCCCCCCACTAGGGACTTGGCCCACAACCCAAGCATGTGCCCTGACTGGGAATTGAACTGGCGACCCTTTGGTTTGCCGGCTGGTGCTCAATCCACTGAGTCCTGACACCAGCCAGGGCTCATGGTCATTTCTTGATAAATGTAGATAGTCCTTTCCTTTCTCCATCAAGCTTTGCCCTCATTTCCCGGAGTAGAAAAAAAACCTTCTCTAATTTTTTTTTATCTCCCCATCTACACAATGCCTATCACTTAGCACTTAGTTGTTGTTCAGTAAATCTTTAGTAAGTATATCAATTCCTAGCGTTTCCCAGACCACACTGGATTCCCAACACTTTCTGAGAACTTTATAACATAGCCTGTGAGTCTGGCCCCCCAAATTTTCCTTTTTCTCCATCTTCTTTCCTTGATGCAGGGGAAGAATTTTGCTTAAAATGAGCTTTCTTCTAAAGTGTTCTTTGCCAGAATTTACTCCATGTAACCTGCCAGTCGATCTAATAAAGTTTTCACAGGTGTTTATGTCATTAGGGTACCATCTGACCTCTAGCGGTGTTAAGGGACACAGTGCACCATGGTTACTTTGCTTTTACATTTCTTGTATAAACATGTTGACCGGTCTGAAAGCTGCGTTTGAAAAACTACGCCAGATCAAGCACAGAAGGTTAAAATGGGCAACTCTGATAAAAGTCTCAGCCAACAGAAATGCGGAAGCCTCCTGAGTCCTAAATTCCATCAATAAGTGCTCTGACCTGCTCTGAAAACCTTTTCTCCCGGAGCAGGTCCCGTTCTCTGTTTCAGTTGCCTTATATTGACACTTTGTTTCAATTCCAAGTTCAACTGGCACTCAAGACCACTCTCTCTATATGCCTTCTGACAGCCTATAACGAAGTCAAGTTGCAGCAGAGAAGCCCTTACAGAGTTCTTACCAGTTCTTACCGAGCTTCCAGTTCATTCACTGTGAGGTCTCTTTGCAGAGGTGTAATTTCACAGCTTACACTGTTTTATTCCAATGTGAACAAAACCATGCAACTGAAAACCTCAGAGATGGAGAAAAAAATTAAGGAACTGCTTTCCGTGTAATGCCCTTGGCATTAGCTCTAGATTGTGGATAGAATCAATACGAGAGAGCAGGGGTGGTCAGATTTTTCACTTATGCATTAAGCCCAAACTCGTTATATTCAAATCCTCCAACTGTCTTATAAAAATGACATTACGAACACACCACCCTCAAAGCTGCTTTCAGAAGGCAGAATTTCCCAGTGGTAACATGCAAAAGGCTGTCTATGTTTTCCCTCTGTCTCTATGAAGCCCAAAACCCATCTGTGTAGGGGAAGACAAAAAGTCGTTCTGAGATGAAATCCGATGTTCTTGGCTTCATTAACATCAAGAGGTGGTATTAACATACCACCTCTCTTCATTCTACCCTGAGGGGAGCAGAATGTTATATCCTAAATTACCAGGCTTCCACAGCAGAGTGCCAACCTTAACTTACATTCAAAAAAGGGCCCTGGCTGGGGTGGCTCAGTGGACTGGGTGCCTGGGTTATGGGCCAGAGTCCCCAGTAGGGGGCGCGTGAGAGGCAACCACACTCGATGCTTCTCTCCCTCTCTCCCTTCCTTACACTCTAAAAAAATAAATAAAATCTTTTTTAAAAAGGGGGTACAGCTGACTGTCAGGAAATTTGCAGATGTTAAGTATCAAAGTAATGAAATGCAGACCAATCCACAGGCTGCTAGACACACATTCCACCTATTCCTCATCTCCTGGGGCCAGTGAAGGAGATCATCCTGTGGATGCCTGGGGAAAGATAATGAGGCTTGTCTTCGGCTGTGAACTTACTAACCCAGACAAGCTTTTATCACCATTTTGCAACCTTCCTGATGGAGAAATCAGGCACTGAAGGAAGACTCAGTACAGAACCCCAGTCACAGGGCGTGTGGAGCAGGGGCCAAAGGCCACCAAATTCTGACCTGTTTGGAATCGGTAAAAGGAAGGGAGCAAAGGAATGAAACTCAAAGATAACTGGTCTGGCTGCGCCTCCACAAGGACGCCTGGAACAAAGGCTCTGTGTCTGCTGTCCAGCGCAGCGCCAGGCACGAAACAGTTTATCAGTAAATATGTGTGGAATCAGTGAACAGCAGTTGCTTTCATCGATATGTTTTCGAAACAGCCTCCAAGTTGACGCTGTGAGAGGCACTATCAACGCCACTTTATAGATGGAGAAACTGGCGCTCTGAGGAGCTGACAGACCAAGTCAAGTCTGTGGCAAGGGACCACTGACCTAATCTAATCACATGACGGCCGCTGGACACTTAAACCCCAGCCACACTCATCCACACGTACCCCCCCCGCAGCTTACACGATGCCGCTACCTCGCGCCTCAGTTACACCTGGCTAGGGACAGGACACAGCAGCAACCGCCTGGCCTCCCCCAAACCCCAACTCGGTATGACTACCCGCCACCCAGTCCCCAGCCCCCGAGCAAGGAGAGGGCGCGGCCTCTGTGCACCCGGCCCCGCCGCCGACAGCAGCCCCTTACCTTTTTGTCCCAGATCTGCAGGGGCTTGCTGCCGATGCTATAGAGGATGGAGAGGAAGCCGCTCTGGAATGTGTTTTTGAACATTTCGCAGGCGGCCTTCTCGGCCGCGCCGGAGCGACCTAGATACGGATACCAAGTGCCGAAGGTAAAACAGGGGGTCGACCCTGGTCGGAACGAGGGACACTGTGCAGCTGACCTCAGGAACGGCAGCCACCAACACCTGGATCTGGATTCAGGACGCTACGTCCGCGCGTTTCCGCTTTCCCACTAACCAAGCTACCCCACGATGGAAACCACAGCAACTGCCGAGCGCGCCACTCTCCCCGCCTTAAATGGAGGTAGAGAGCCGCACGGCGCCCAAGATGGATTCCTCCGCCCAGTTAAGCCCGCCCCGTGAAAGCCCGAAGCCCAATCCTGCCACGGGGATTACGGACTTCCTGTGCTTTCCGCTCTTAAACTCTGCCCTAGTTCCGCCTCCTCGTGAAAAAGAACTCCGTTGCCAAGGGACTATTTTCCTCCATCGTCGTTTCAGAGCTGCTTTTGGAAGCGGAAGGAGATGGAGGATTTAAAATGTGTTGTACACACCTGCGTATTGTCAGCGGCTGCGTGTTGTCATGGGAACCTGAAGGGGGGCTGAGGTCAGGGGGCGTGAGGACCAGACCACGCCCTCTGAGGGAAGAGGATCCCACAAGCACCAAGAGTGAGGTAGGTTGCTAAGCGAGGGGAATCACGCGAATGTCAAATGTGCTTGCTTTTGGCTGAGTACAAGGTCAGGTTAAAGCAGCTAACCTGTACTGAGTGCCAGCTGTGCTGAGCATCTTATGTGCATCTTTGTTTTAAATATTAACAGAGTCGTTATGAATACACCACTGTGTCAGCTTGTGGGATGCAGTCAAAGCAACGCTCTGAGGAAAATATATTGCCTTAAATGCATTATTAGCGAACAAAAAAGCTTGAATACTCAGCTAAAAGCAGAAATTAATAAACTAAACAAAAAGTCTAATTGGTTGAAGCAACAGCTGATTTTTTAAAAAATCAATACTAAGAAGAACTTTTTTTTTTAAGTCATAAAATAGGCTATGATATTCCAGGCGTGGAAGAAATCCAAACCGCTGGAGACCACTCACTGAGCACCTACCTATACATGGTACTCCGTGCCCTGGCCCATGCTGGGTGTTGTGGCTGACGGAACGGGAGTTTGCAGGTAACTTCACCGCCGTAACAGCTAACAATAGCTAACATCTATTGAACACTTATGCATCAGGCACTATGCTAAGAGCATTAGCCTTTATTAAGTCATTCAGTCCTCATAGCAACCCCGGGAACAACTGAACCAGAATTTCCAGACATGGGATGGGGGAGGAAATATGGTTGCATTACAGCAGAAAGTCAAAACTTTTTATATAAACTGTATAAAAGTTCATTATTTTTGAATGATTGCTGGGGATTCTTTAGGCCAGTGAACAATTTATCCCTTGATATTATTAAATTTTTCTTTAAACAAAAGATTTATTTATTTATGGAGAGGGGAAGGGAGGGAGAAAGAGGGAGAGAAGCATGTGCGTGGTTGCCTCTCATGCGCCCCCTACTGGGGACCTTGCCTTCCATCCAGGCAGGTGCCCTGACTGGGAATTGAACTGGCGACCTTTTGGTTTACAGGCCTGCACTCCATCCACTGAGCCACACCAGACAAGGCTGATGTTATTAAATTTTTCAAAATATCCTACGGGGAAACACATTTACTATACATTAGATTTTCATGTGCACTGAGTCTATCACAGGATTTTTTATTCTGTTCCCTTGAATACTGATAACACCAAATGCTGGCACAGTGGGAACTTTCATTCATTGCTGGTGGGAATGCAGAATAATACAGCCACTCTGAAAGACAGTTTGGAGATTTTTACAAAACTAAACGTACATTTACCATAAGATCCAACAATCCCACTCCTTGATACTTACCAGAAGTTGAAAAGTTACATCCCCACCAAAACCTGTACATGGACATTTATAGCATCTTTATTCATAATTGCCCAAATCTGGAAGCAACCAAGATGTCCTTCAGTAGGTGAATAGATAACTGGTACCCGCAGACAATGGAATATTATTTAGTGCTCAAAAGAAATGAAGCCGTGGTGAAAAGACACGGAGGAAACTGAAGTGCATATTACTAAAAGAAGCCAATCTGAAAGAGTTATATACTGTCTCGTTCCAACTATATGACACTCTGGAACAGGCAAAACTGTGGAGGCTGAAAAGACAATGCTTGCCAGGGGTGGGGTGGGGTGGGGGTGGGAAGAGAGGAAGAGCAGAGCACAGAGGACTTTTAGGACAATGAAGATAATTTTGCAGCACCCCCCACACCAACTACCTGTCCCTCATACTCTGCTTTATTCTTTCTCATGACACTTATCACCACTTGATAGTCTGTGTAGTTACTTATGGTCTATCTTCCTGCATTCGATTTTGAGTTTCAGAGAGAATTTAGTCTGCCTTGCTTGTAGGTATATTTCCAGTGCCCAAAACGCACGCCTGAAAAAAATGGGACTATAGTCAGTATGTGCTGAATCTGGGAATTAGAGTCATGGACCTGGGTTCCTGGTCACTGCAGGCCCAGCACAGGCTCTGCCCTCGTGGCCTCAGCATGCCCATACGGACAATAAAGACCTTCTGCTTGGAAGGGCCCGCCTCCCCCATTTGCCTGCTCACATCTCTCATTAACTGTGGAAATGGTTAAATGGTGAAATGCAGACACCTTGAGCACGTGTGCACTTAGGTGCCCTGGACAGCCCATCAATGAGCCAGCTGAGGGGGGCAATGGGAGGGCTCACTTCTAACTACTCATCTGCAGCGAGTGTCTGCACAAACTGTGGGGTTCAAGGTGCATTGTGATCACAGCCTTGGCTATAGGAAAGATGATCTGATCAAAGGTTTGGAGAATATAAAGTAGTGTTTAGCAAATATGTTTTGCTCCTATTGTAGGCTTGATTTGGGCATGCTTCTCCCAGATGCTGTGTCTCCTGTGCATGAATAGCACCCCGCACGGGAATGAATGAATGAATGAATTAATTAATTAATGGACTAGAGCCAGATAGCCACCTCTGACACTTACCTTCATTTCAAAGGTAACATAGAATGAATTAACCTAAAACTACAGATGTCACTCACAGGAACACATTAAACACTGTACTTCAAGATTGTTCTCTCTTGCCCTGGCTGGTATGGCTCGGTGGATTGAGCACAGGTCTGTGAACCAAAGGATCAAGGTTCCATTCCCAGTCAGGGCACATGCCTGGGTTGCGGGCCAGTTCCCAGCGGGGGATGCAGGAGAGACAACCATACATTGATGTTTCTCTCCCTCTCTCCTTCCCTTCCCTTTTAGGGATAGATAAATAAAATCTTTAAAAAAAAAAGATTGTTCTCTCTTCATCAACATAAAAGTGTTTATGTTGATGAAGAACCTTGCTAGTAAGTTGCTTCCTTCGATGATTTTACAATTAGAAAGGGGTAGATGGATCCGTTTTAAAAAGTAATGCATAAAAAAAGAGCAGAATCTATTAAGGCAATAAAACTACAGTTTGGGCAATAGGTACAGCAGCTCAGCTGATACAAATGAGGCCATTAAAAGTTGCAGAAAAGGGCCATGGCCAGTGTGGCTCAGTTGGTTGGGCGTTATCCTGTGAGGCAAAGGGTCGCTGGTTCAGTTCCTGGTCGGGGCACATACAAGAGGTAACCAATCAATGTTTCTCTCCATTTCTCCCTCCCTTCCCCTCTCTCTAAAAATAGATAACTGAAAATTACAGAAAAGATAAAGTCAGTGCATGAAGTGCAAGATAAGGGTGGTCTTGAGAATCCCATGACTCAAAGAAGGGGCTTAGTTTGGTGGCCTGAAGTTCGGGTAGAACCATCACTGGGCAACCAGTCTGGTGCCCAGAATCTCTGCCCATGAACAAATCACAGTCCTGCATTTAGACTGAATGTCACCTTGGTCAGGTGTCAAAACACACACAGAGATTAGAGCAAGTACATAAAAACCCCATCAGTAATCCACATCTAAATGAGCAATAAGTTTCTGATTACTGTGACATTTTGTTTGTCACTTAGGATACTTGAAATATTTAAGATAACTTAATGCATTAGAGAACCCGATACTTTGAAATGCTTCAAGGAATTTGAAATTAGTTCTGTGATTTTTAATTTAAAGATGCCTGAGAAAATGTAATTAAGTTTGTAAACAAATGTTTAAACTTTTTCATTTACTCCATCTATGAGTTTAAGACTTAGATATATTAGTATTTGAATGCTTAGGAAGATATCATCAGACTTTTGGTCTTTCATATTAGCTACTGAAAGTGTGTGTGCAAACCAAACAGATGAAATACGTGGGTGACTCTGAAATGTCTAAGGAACCCAGACTGTGGGCGAGCAATGTTTATGGTTTAACCCATTACATTTTGAAGTAACTCAGCATGGATCGCAGATTAAGTGTCCGTATTTATATACAAAACCAACTAGTTTGTAGTTATAACAAGATTTATAAGTTGATTTTAATGACACAAGACAAATGAGATTTTAAATGTAGACTTTTAATAACTGAGATATTATTTAAAACACCAAGAACTGTAAGAACCCTTCCCAGCGCACAAAGCCCTGGTCGGATGCTGAAACCCAGTGGGCAGCGCCTGTTCGTGCCCGTCCAAGCCCAGGAACTTGAGAGCGCCTGGCCTCCAGGAGGCTTGAGACATACTGTAAGGCAGAGTTTATTCTCCACCCGTCCTTGCTGGTGGGGACGGGGAGGAGCAGCAGTGACTGGGCGTTCAGCTGGCAGGAGGAGGACCACTGAGTCCAGGGGTCCTATCCAAAGACCATTGCCCCAACATCGTCAAGTAAAACAGCCCGTGGTGGGCAGATGAAGCTCCTCCTACTCTGACAGTGAAGTTCAGATGGGACTCTGTTGGGCTCTTGCACATTATTGTTACCTTTAAAATTGACTTTTAAACTTACACACAGTAAAATGCACTTTTTGGTGTACAGTCTTGACAAAGGCACCAAATCATAACTGGCCACATTCAGGACACAGAACAGTTCCATGGCCCTGCCCCCAAATTCTCCCATGCCATCCCTCCGTAGTCAGACCCCTCCCCCAGCATCCCTTGCACCCCGGGCAACCGCGGAGCTCTTCTCTGTTCCCACTACATACACTTTTGCCTTTTCTAGAATTTAATCTAGATGGAATCGTTCAGTAGGTAGCATTTTGAGCCTGGCTGCTTAGCACCATGCATTTGAGATGTGCGTTATTTTAACAGTTTGTGGAACAGTCCACAACAAACGCCCCACCTCAATGTCTCAGACACGCCAGGCTGATCCACCCGCCTCTCAGCACCCTCTGTCTAGCCCTCCGCAGGCTCAGTTTGGAAAGCCCCCTACAGCACTTCAGACATATGAAAAGGAAGCCGTTTTTCATGCTTAAGATAACTTTTTCCCTGTAGTTTTGAAAAGATCTTTAGAATTTGCTTTTAAAATTGATTTTGTGCTTGTCTGTGACTTCACTAATTATCACGAGAAAAATATGTTAGAAAACAAATACTGAATCTAAACCATTAACTTAATGAAGTTCGCAGGATTGGAAAAGACATTTAATCACATTTATTTTTATTTTGCAACTTTCTTATCTGAGAGCCAACACCTTTTTTTTCAGATCTCTAACATCTCTGTTAGAGATGGGAAGTCACGGGCTCCGAGCCCCAGGCCCCAAGTGCCTGACAGAGCCCCACAAAAATTCCATGAGTAAAGGCATGATGGTTCCAACCTACACCAGTGACAGAAAGGAAGAGAAGACTGTTTTCTCTGAATCATAACAATGTCCTTTCTAAAAAAAAAAAGTTATATGGCACAGATAAAATTTTTTGAGTTTATCTCACAAATATACAGTGTAAAACAGTGTGCATATTTGTTTCTTGCAGCAGTACTGGTGACGGGACTGATTAGAAACAGCCTACCAATCAGGGATCGCTTTCCCCATGGGACATCACATCATGGAATACTACACAGGCATGAAAAGGAGCGAGGTAGGGCCATACATGCTAACACAGTAAGATTTTCACAACTAAGGGAAAACATAAGTTGCAGAAAGAAAATGTAGAGTCTGATTATGTTTCTGTAAAAATAAAAGTCATTACAGTTCAGAAATGCCAGTAAATGTGCAGGATACAAACTGGAAAGTATATACCAATTTAACCATGGTTACATCCAAAGGAGAAAAGAGTTTCTGCATGTGTGGGTACGTAGTTGGGGGAGGCTTTCATTAGTTACTTTGGTGTAACGTGACATTTTACCATGAACATAATTACTTTGGTAATCAAGAAAATTCGGTATTACTTTAAACAACCCAACACAAGCAGGATTACTGGAAGATGTGACTTGATGTTCTCAGTTTCCAAGCACATTGTGGATAAGCGTTAGATTGGTCTTGAGTTAGTAGGTTTCTTGTCCCTTTCTCTGAAGGCTAAAGCCACGTTCAAACACACACACACCTCCTTTCCCTCCGTCTTTCTACAACCACTCTCCCATTGAGCACTAATCATCCACAAAAAACCAGAGTATCTTGGCTGAGAGGCTTCTGGGAAACAAGACTTTCACACCGAGAAGATGGCCTTGACTGAGAAGGGAAATTGGAAGGCGAGGCTAGAGTTCAAGCTCTGCACGGCTTCTAAAGAACTCTCAAACAAACGGCCGTGTGACCGCTCTGAAGAAACCCTTCCTGTCCGAAGGTGCTCAACACCAGTGGTGAAATGCTCTGTCAGTAAACACGCACACGCAAAGCACCACGTCACAGGAGCTCCAGGGACATGTTTGTATGAGGTATCAAGATGCTGTTGCAGAGGTCTGGGAGACTGACAGAAATTTGCGGAACCGTAAGCCAGAAAGGGCCTCGTGAGAGAGACCACTTGAGGACAGCAGGCCGGGGTGGGGCTGGAAAGGAGCACGCCTGTCCACCTGATGCCCTGGTGGCCTTCCACTGCCCGCTGGCAGCGGGCCTGCAGGCCCTCACTAGCTGGTGTGCAGGAGTTTGGGCTCCCGCACCTGAGAACTGCCTGGATGTGACAGAAGTTGATCCAAGGGACACTGTGACGCCATGGTGGCTCAGGGGCCTCTTTGCTCCCCCCCACAATTGCTTCAAAAGTGAGTGTCCACACCTGGATTGCCAGCCACCTGTTCTGGACAAGCAGCAGAGAACACAGGAGAAAGCTGTGTGGACCACATGGCTTTGGTAGAGAACCAGCGGGTGCCCGTCCAGCCACCTGGGCGTGGGGTCTGCCTGTGGCTTCTGCTGTCTAAGGCAGTGGGAGGATGCGGGCACCGCCAGACACAAGGGCAGCCACCAGGCTGTCACCGCTTTTCCTTCCCTGTGGCACAGCTGTCCTCGGAGTGGGGGACTGAGGGAGCCAGGGAAGGCTCATTGGTAAGACAGGTGGAGTCTGTTTACTTAACAAATACAGCCAGCGCTTCCATTCCATCCTTTCAACACCATCAGAAGCCGCCCTCAGATCTGGACCCAAGACCCCAGAGCCCTGCCCTGCCTCAGGACGGCAGACTCAACCATCCTCCAAGTGAAGATGCTGTTTTTGGAAGGGGGCTTGGGGAGAGGGGATGGGACTGGGAGGTGGAATGGATACAGAGGCAGGAGCAAAGGGAATGGAAAGGGCCAGGGCACCTTCCTGAGTTCACTGGAAGTGATGTTCACCTACCACCTCCGCCACTGGAGACTGGCCTGCTTTGGGAGGACGGATCAGGGGTGGACAAACGCATGTTCAAAGCAAAGCCTGGCTTTCCTGGCTTAGTCTCCTCGAATCCGCAGCCCCTCTCCCAGGATGAGCTCACCATCCCCCTTCAACTCCTCCCGTCATGAAGAGCACCCTTAAAACCTGCTCACCTCACCTCTGGGGCTTCCTGTCCCTGCCTAGAACCTGCCACGAAAGCTTTTCTACTTCACTTGGTCGCCTGTGGCCATGGGTCTCGGTTAATGGCCCCTTCCATACTGAAAACTCTTCATACATTTCTTTTAAAACCTTTTATTCAATAATATATACTTTTAAAATTATAATATGTCACTGCCCATCATGCCATATACGCCCCCATGGCCCCTGTGGAGCCTGCGGTCTGCTGGGAAGCAGGTGGCCACAGGACGCCAAGGGGTGCGGGGGAACAGCAGTAGCCAACAACCATCTTGCATACCCTTCACATTTCCCATGCTGTCTGGGTCAGGAGGAAGTCAACAGGAAGCCAAAGGTGTGTGAGCCTTTTACATTCAGAAGTGAGGTTTGATACACGGTGGTGGGCTGCCCCGCAGCTGGTCTAGTCCGTGCTCACCAAGCCTGCCACCGTGTTGTGTCTGCTCACGGAACGTGCTCTCTCTACACACGTTCAGACGTTTGATTTGGTTCTTGCTCTGCTTATGGAAAAGTGAGAGGAACCGCAACAGACCTGGGGAGAGAGAGACGGGAGGAGGGGAAAGATGGCGTTAATCAACAGGACCGGGAGCGAGGACAGGCCTCCTGCTCCTGAAGAGGGCTGGGAGCACTGCGCAGGCTCGACTTTCCCACGCCATCCGTGGAGCGCCTAGTCAGAACCACGATCTCGGGCTTCAACTCGTACCCTTTCCACACTTCCTCTTCTGGTCACCACTAAGTCTCCACGGGCCTTCTGCAAGAGCAGGGGGACGTTCTGGGCACCACACGGGCGACCAAGTCTCTTCCCCGCCTCTCGGGTCCAGGACACTGGCCTTCCGTGCACACCAAGCTCCAGGTTCCGCAGTGCACCATCAGAGCTGATCCCATGTACCAAGGACAGCGTGGGACTAATTAGACGCCTGTCTCGTACACAGGAAAAGGGCCAAGGCAAAAAGGGAACTAGCTCATTCACAGGAACGGGCAAAAGTGGGTTTACAGTTGTTCACGTGGAAAAAGACAAGCAGGTTGCGATTCTTGGAGCAGCTGTTACTCAAAGGACTGTCGCAAGACACAGTGCACTCACAGCGGGAAGCCTGCCTTTGCCCACCCGTGTTTTTTCACTCTCCCCTGGGAGCGGCTGTCTGGCACGGCCTGAAAAGCGTTCCTCCTTCCCTGCCCGGCACAGTGGAGGGGGCGCCGAGACGCTGACAGCGGAGTTCTGGCAGCGCTGTCTCGGGACGGCAGCACCGCACCGAGGGGAAGGGTGGGCCGTGCATGCACCTGGGAGGCCGCCACATGGAAACATGGCTCCGTGAGAACTCGCTTGGGGCAAGGATGGGCGAAAGGCCACATGGTGCAAAGGCAGAAATGCCTGTTTGCCTTTAAACACGTCGGAAACTGACTTCTAAGCATCCAACTCCACAGAGGGGTCAGTCAGGGGGAAGGAAGACACCTTCCATCTGCCCAACAGCAGGTGCCACTCCGGCAGCTGAGAAGCAGAGAACAGGGTGGGGACAACTTCCCTAACCGCAGAAACACTGCCACAGACGGTCACGCCGTGGTGCAGAACAGGTCCGTCCCGAGCAGGCGTCTGCAGGGGTGCGATTCAGAAGCAAATACCGAGACAAGCCAGTCCCACCTGTCCTGCTACGTCTTCACGCCAGGGTGGCGCACCAGGTCCACCACACACACCTTAGTAGCACAGGGTTCATCCCTCCTCTCCCCCGAGAGCCGGGCAACGCAAGTGTAAGGTCCTCGTGGCCGTAGCGTGTTGCCCTCCCTGGAAAGCTGGTGACGAGGAGCATTTTTATTTGTGCAAACAGGAGTTAGCGTAGGGTCTCTTTTCCCTCTAAGGGAGCAGCGCAGAAGTCACAGCTCAGCCATCCAGGGGTATGGAGGCGGCCACTTGACCCTGAAGTAGTCATTTGTAAGGGGTCACCAACCAGCCAATGCTGCTCTCCTGAAAACAGAAGGAAAGTCGATTCCATGGTTCTTGAAGATCTGATTTCTGTCCCAACTCTCAGTCACCATTTACAGCAAGAAAAGCCAGCAAGTGAAAAACTGTTAATTTATTGATTCAATGAAAGTTTTTTTTTTAAAAACAATCCTCAATACATGTAGTTCAGGAGTATCACATTTGTAGCACATTGTTGAGTCTCTACACAAGGGCACGCCCCACCCGCACAGCCCACCACACCGCTCCCCCAGCCTGCACAGCACGGGGTCCTTTTCATCAGCACATCCATGCGGCTGGGCGGCAGTGGCGTCACTGGTCTAATCAGCAGTTTCCCCAGCACCTCCCCTCCCGTGCCCACTCTGGGGTTGGGTTTTTAGAGGCAGGACATTCGGTCTTAGATTTCAAAGCTCACAGACAAACTTTGGCTTCTTGTGTGCTCATGTGGACCCTGCTTTTGCTTTTGAAAGAATTTGTGTTTCAATGACCTTGACTTTGATCAGTTACTACCCACTCCAATTCATCTGTGGGAGGGAAGTCTTTTGCCTGTGGGTGTTCATACAGTAACACAGGTTTCTAAACAAGTCATTTAATTTGAACCGGCATTAAAGGGAACTACTAACGGGGCTGTTAGATCTACTTTGATGCAAACGTAAAAATCCCTCCAATTGCTTGTGTCCCAGAATAACTTTTCTTCCGCCCTCAGCAACAGAGCACCTGGGAAAACCTAAGTCATTTCCCTGAGTAGGCCCAGACCGAGCCCCAAGGCTGCCAGCTCTGTCTGGGACTCAGCATCTGCCTTGAGAGCACCTTTGGGTCCTACTGGAACCAGTACAGGGGGCAGTGTCCACCCCAGAACATGACCTTCGTGCCCCCTAGGGCTTCCACTCCTCGGGAAGCCATGTTCCCTCATCAAGATCTACTGGTCGACTATCTTCCTGGTTCCCTTTTCCAAGAGTCCACTACCTTGGCTTCTCTCCCAGCCCCCTAGAGTTACAAGTTCTGATGTCTCCTCGCACCAGTCAGAGTACCTTCCTTTTCTGTGAGGGAACACACTTGCTTTGAGCCTGTGAGGATCCATTTGCCACAAAGGTCTGTTCGGAGACCCGGCAGAGTGACTGATGTGCCTGGTGCCCCGCGGAACTGGCGCTGGCACTCCTCTGGTTAAGGAGGCCCACGAGCGCTTGGTCTGCATTCTTCATTTGATGGCTCCCCCTGCCCAGCAGCCGCCCCCCATGGGGACGGGCCAGGCCAGCTGATAGGATCCAGGGGGAAGTCAGCTGCAAGTAAACCACGGGTGAAAATGACGGCAGCTCTGCTCTCCCCACGGGACCCCTCAGCCGGAGCGGGTCCCTGCAGTTACCATGCCCGCCGTGGTTGGCAGACTGTGACACACCACCTGTGTCTGGCACAGGGACCTGCTGTCCCTGCCAAACCAGGTCTACGTCCCTAGACGTAGGCAGAACCTGAGATGACAGCACTACACTACCCTGTTCCCATTTTTTTTTGCCTTTCTTTAGGAAAGAGTCCCTATCATAGGCACTTTTAACCTGTTGTAAGGTAATGAAGCAAATGAGTAATGACAATTGCTGAGATGAATTTAAGAATGTGCTAACTGAAAAATACTGGGCGGGTGAATCTGCCACAGCTTAGTCTAAATATTAGACCTACACACACGCTCTCTCTCTCACACATACTCATCACCCCTCATTCCTGGAACTCTCCAAGACCATCTCCTAACCCAGGTAAAGGCTCCGAAATCTCAAGGGAGCTAGGTCCGCCTGGACATAAAACGGTGTTGGGAGACAAGCAAAGGAGAAGAGGTCTGGACTGGACTCACTTCAGTTTGGGGAAAAAACCACCCACAGTCACAGCCGGCCAGCAAGCCGGGCATCAAAGCCATACCCGGAAAGGAATGAGTGTTTCAACTCGGTGTTGCTGTGTGTCTAAGGCATGAAGAGAGGGGAGAGCACACGGTGGGAATGTAAACTGTGCCTAAAAGGAGGCAGGACTCCTGTGTCAGAGCCGCAGCCACAGACCCCACGGTCAGGCAGGGGGCTGCCCACACCCGCCTCATCAGACCACAGGAGAAAGCGGCACAAGGACACCACCTGGCTCTTCTCCAGATGCTTTTATTGCCTCTGGGGACCCAGGGGAAAGATCAGGGTCACTACTTCGCCAAGACCCTCCTGCAGGCTCCCCCTGCATGGTCCAGACAGGCAAACTGAAGGTGTGGGAGGAGAGTGGCGGGCAGGACAGACACACAGCAGCACACCTGGTCATCAACCAAGTTCAGTGTTGCCTCAAGGGGCCCGTTAGAAGGCTTCCGACAACCCCAACACTGAGTTCCACTGCCTGACACAGCGGTACAGCTTCGCCACGAGCTTGCGTCTTGTCTTTCTCAGGTAGAACAAATGTACACATTCATACACAGAGTGTGCAATGCAGGCAGGCAGTATTGGTGTGAGAACCTTAACAGCATGCATTTCCTGGCTTTGGGATCTTACTCTCACTTTGTAATATGTAAGCTCAACTCTGTAATAAGAGTTTTATTTGTATTTTAAGTTCCCACCAACCAAATGACAAAAATAGAATCTACATTTATAGATAGGACCTGCTATCAATACCAATATGATTTTATTGGAATATGGAATGTAAACAGATGTTTTCAAATAAACAATCTAACCTTATAAAAACGTATGGCATTATTAAATACTTAGTAAAGAAACCCTAAATGTGCTGTGGCGGCTGCCGCCGCTAGCTCTGGCCTAGGTGTGGAAGTTCCCACAGCGGCGGTGGCTCTGCAGCCAGGGCGAGGGGACTGCTCGCAAACCATGTTGGTGACAAGTCCCCCAAATGAAATTAGCCCTATTTTTTACCCTTTAAAACAAACTCTAGCTTCCTTTGCTACCGTGAAGGCTCGCGCAACGGATGTCTCACGAGACCTGCTCTAGCAGCTCCACGGGTTACGGGGCGGCTGTGCCCACACGCCAGCTGGCACGCAACATGGACTTATCACACTCGTGTGTTACCCACAGAGCTCGAACACGCAGATTACCCTGATTACAGCGGGAAGTTATTTCTCATGGGGACCGAGGGAAAAAAAAAAAGGCAAAAAGGGAGTGGAGATGGGGAAGTATGTTTTTTTCAGTGACCAGGTCATTCCTGAATATTCTTATAGAACGCTTTCTCCCTTTCCCTCCCCAACCTGCCTAAAGACTGACCTTCCAGCTATATTTCGGACGTGAACAAAAAGTCTTTGTTTCAGATGCGTTACAACAGGTGCAACAAAGGGTTGTGCTGGGACCCGGTGAGGCTTCCTTACACGGCTGCAAAAAAAAAGCTACACAAAAAAATAGCCACAAGGTTTTACGGTTAGGCAGAATAACAAAGGGTATGGCGAGCTCTAAGTTATGCACTTAGCATCACTTTTGATGAGACAGACGGACCTGTTCACGGCATCAGAAGATGTAAAGTGACATCTTGTGATGTCTGCTGACATCAAAGGGGACTCGTAGGAGTGACTGCAGTTCGCTCCCAAATGAACGCACTTAGAAGGAAACTGCAGGGATGAGGTACATTTCCTAGAGACCTCATGTCATAAAAAAATACATAAAACATGAATTTGTAGAAGAGTTTAAAAAAAATACTGTCGCTGTTTGGATATCTCCTTTTCATGAACGAGGCTGGTGTGTCGGTACAGACTGGCTGCTGACGTGCCGCCAACACGGGCCCGAACCTCACCCAGGGAACCCAGCCCACGGAGGATCAGACAGGAAGTCAGACCGCCAGAGCGCGGTGACCGCACAGGGTAAGTCACAGCGGTCTCCCGTTAAACAAAGGTGACTGTGGAGCACTCCGAGTCTCCCACCTCCCGGCGTCCCACAGGGAGAGGCCCCGCAGATCCTGAACTACGTGCACCGTCTCGCTCGCTGCCAGGCGGCAGCTCCCTGTACACTATTATTACTGGGGAGTTTCTTTCTTTTTTGACAGACTTTTAGGCCTTTACTCTTCTTTGCGTTTAGAAGGAATGACTAGAATTTCTTTTTATCACACTGCAGTTTTCCTTCAAGATTTGTTTGGTTGGTTCGTTTTATTGGCAAGCATCAATGCCGTATTACCCGTCGCTTTCCAGTCTTCATCGGGTTGCCGCGAGACCACTGGAAAGTACAGCATTATCCGCACAGGGCTGGGACTGCTCCTTCACCACGGGGTCTGCAAGATAATGGGCCGAGTCAGCAGAAGCAGGCTGGCCGGCGTGGCAAAAATAGCCCGCCGAATCCAACCCTTCCCCCGTGACACTGCGGGCAAGTCAGGGGCGGGAAGGCAAGCCAAGTTAGACACCGGAAAACGGTCACGGGAGTCGTCGCTCGTACACTTCCTGGGAGGGCAAGTTCAACCACTGAGGCTCACGGAAAAGAGCGGCACAGACACACTCTTCCCACTGCCCTGAATTTCTCCTGGTTTTCTTATGTGTGATTTCCCTTGAAGACTAACATCGTACCCAACCCCCACTTTCTTCAAAGCATGGAGTGAGCACTTCAAAGAAAAGGGTGACCAAAAAGAGCCAGTAGAAGGCCTGGCCATTTTAAGCAACAATAGCTAAGAAAGTTTTTAAATAGAAAGATGATGTGTGTTCAGAAGAGCAGATAGATCATGAATTGTGTATCGTAAAGATCAATGGTCTTAGTTCAATCTGACTCAAAGGGTGGGAAGAGCTTGCGGTGCCAGCAACTGGAAGGGGGACACAGGTGGGACTGGTCTGCTGTCCGAACACCGAAGGCGAGACCCCCCACCTGTGCTGCGCACTAACACCGAGGGGCCGGCAGGTCCCAGGCCAGAGAGTGATGTCACCTTCAGGCAAGTCTCAGTTAGTCTCCAGAGGGGGAAGAGAAGGCAAGAGCGCGTGTTGGTCTAGCAAGACAGGCTGGAAGTTTCCCTTCGATTCCGACAGTGCGCTGAGACAGGGCACTCACTTAACTCCCTTGTTCCCAGTCTCCCGACTGGGCCAGATCTTCACACTCATCTGACGACCGCGGTGTGAGACACGCGTCATCAGGGGAGGGGAAAACTGCGTGCACTCTCAACAATAAGCAACCATGTGAACAGAATTCTACACACCCTCTGAAGTGAGACCATGAGGTCGATAATTCAGATAGCATTTCGGTGAGGTCTTTTCATGCTCACTTTCCTTGCCTCAACTCCTTGTTCACTGAACTTATTCCCTTCTTTAAAATCATACTATTGGTTACATTATTTTCAACTAATTACTTGCCTTCTGCAGGAGGCGGGAAATCTTTCATTAGATTTCCACGTAAGTGTATAAATTTGAAAACAAATTTTAGATACTTGTGATCTATCAACTCAGGTGTCCATCACCAGGAATGGTCGAAAAGACCAGACTTGGGGAGCTACAGTGGCGAACAAGCAAATAACCTTTGGGCTCAGGAAACAGACCTGCCAAGTTGTCTCAACAGTCTAGAACTAATGAGGCCGAATTCCACTGGCATTCCATCCAAAGAAATACCTAGAATTTTCCCGAACGGCCTCTGAGATAGAGAGAGAATTTCCCTCCAGCCCACGCGGCCCCGAGAAGCAGCCCGGACACGCACAGAAGTATGGGTGCTCCATGGCCTCTTTGGCCGTCAGTCTCTGTTGATGGTCGTATCGCAGAAGTTTGTCCAGAAGGTCTAGGGCCTCGGGGCTGACCAGGTGTCTGTTCTCACTGTGGATGAAGTTTTCCCAGCGTTTCCGTGAATGTCTGAGAGGAGAGGAACACATTACCACTCCAAGATTCAATTCAACAAGAATCCTTACACAGTAGGACTAAAACCAACAAAATCTTAAAATACCGCACTGATTACAAGCTCCTTAAATCTCACTCTTGCTGAGACCTGCCCCGCCCCTCTAGCTATGATCACAGTGTCCTCAAACAGGACAGCACTCGGTGACTAGCAAGTAGGATCAATTAAAACCTGTCCGTCTGATTTGGATGTAAAAGTTTCAGATGGTCTCCAGTTGCTCTGGGTGAGACGTGGAGGTGACCGAGTAATTCTCCTTACTCAGCAGCTGCAGGCCTTAGAACATGGAGCTTTATAAAATGTCAAGTGCTGTTCAAAAATTTCCAACACATTTACTTTTCAATACTCTATCTGAAAATATGCTTTAAGATTTGCTACCTTTCAGAAAATCCGTTACACCAAACAAGAAGAAACTGTCTGATTATTCAAAGAATCCGTTTCCTAAGATTTCCCATTGAAATAAGCATCTGCTATCACAGAAAGCTTTTTTCTGCAACATCATAATTTTGTCTTACATTTTATCTCTTAGAAGTGAAATTATGAGAAGACATAGGTAAACAATGCCCAAATATTGCAAAATTAGTTAAGAAATATACATGGGAAAAAGAAGGCCATTTCAAGTTTGATACAATTAGAAAGAAGAGATTTAGAACGCGATTTTGGCCAACCTTTCCACTTCTGCAGTGGGGCAAGGTAACCCCCCCTTACTCACTGTCCCAGGATGTCGTTGAAGTGCGGGTCGAGGTCTATGTGATACTTCTTCAGGTACCCGTACAGTTCGTCCGTGCCCAGAACCTTCGCGATGCGAACAAGCTGCAACACAGAATACACTGACCAAATCGCTGAGCACAGAACTCACTGTGCGCCTGCGCAGAGGCCAGGACCAGGCATTAGAACTTCCACGCTACCAAGTTTCCAGGGACCCGACACAGATGCAGGCCTGCGGCAGACAGGCAGCAGACCCAAGGGCATGATGTTCACACGAGTGCAAATCGCCTCGTGGCCTTTAAAATGATCATGCAACTCATGACAACCACCTTCTAGAAGCTGAAGACTGTGAGGACATCACAGTCCAACGAGTGAAGTCCAGTTTTACTAGACATGGAGGTGTCCAACCTCACAGGCTCGCTTTGCAGTGGGGCGTAAGGTGGCGTCCGTCACCAGTCTTTGGGGACCTGCTGACTGCAGGCGATTCGGTGAAGCTCTCCCCGTGAAGGGGAGGATGCACGCAGGCACTGAATGACACTTAGCGGCTCAGGGTCAGCACCCCTCAAGGGACGCGACTCCCTTGGCATCTGCCCCCCAGTGGGTATGAGCCAGATGGCGTCCGCTCACCTGGTCGTAGTTGTCCTGTCCATGGAAGAAGGGCTCCTTTCGAAAGATCATGCTCGCTAACATACAGCCCAAACTCCACATGTCCAAGCTATAATCATACATCTGAGGGAAGAAGGACAACCAGTCAGTCAAGGGCGCTACATTTTCCTAAGGGGGGGGGGGAAGGAGGGGGCTGAGGCAAATCCGAAGTTGTCATTTGGAGGTGCAATAAAGACTGAATTCTGAATGTATCCAAACTGGCCAAGTAAAAACCAGGAGAGGGAAAGCCAAGGAGAAGCCCTAAGGAGACATGGAAGAGCACAGGGCGCTCGCTGACCACCTTACCTGGTAGTCCACCAGGAGCTCGGGTCCCTTGAAGTACCTGGAGGCCACGCGGACATTGTACTCCTGCGCAGGGTGGTAGAACTCGGCGAGGCCCCAGTCTATGAGCCGCAGCTGCGAACACGACAGAAACCAACATATGAAAGGACTGCCGCCACATGCCTGTGCCTTAGGACAAGGCCACACCACACTAGATGGGCATTATTTGGCCCCATAAAAAATGACAGCAAGTGCACTGGCTAAAAACTTACACATTCTGCAACTGTGTAAGAGATCATTTCTACTGCAGAGCAGAGAACTCACAATCTTATTTGCTTTTTCTTTTTTTAAAATTTAAAGTATCCTGGCTTATTCTCTTGAGATCCATAGAGCTTATTAAGCTTTTTTCGGGCTCCGTACCACTTACAGGTGTTACCGCCCGCCCTGCATCAATAGCACCATCATAAGCTGTAGTCCCAACAGATGGGGTGAGGACATATGCCCCCCTCCACAAGGAGGCACTGCTCCAGCTGCTCATTAATCTACGACTAGCTGATTCGTTTACTCACCCATCAGGGACAACCAGAACTGGATACTGAAAACAGGAGGGACCCAAGTACACTTTGAAGGCCAGGCCGACTGGCCTGAGGGTCACTAAGCAGTAGAAACCATCAGTGCAGTTTCTTTCTCGAGGCCTTCCCGAAAACCCTGAGCACAACATCTAGTAGGTGCCTACAGTCGGGCCCGGCCGTCCACTTCCCTCGAGTACCACGCCTACACCAAGCAGAAGCCCACAGAGGCCGGGGAAGTGACAGTACCACAGTCTCCTGCCAGAGAGAGCAGCATGGATCTGCGGCAGCCACCCTGGTCCTGGCCTCGCCACACGAGGCTGGCCGTGCTGCCTGGCCATGCTGATACCTTTTTCTGTTGGTGGTCTATCATGACATTGTGAGGTTTCACGTCCCTGTGCATGATTCCCTTGCTGTGGCAGTAATCCAGAGCCTATCGGACAAGAAGCAGAGAAGAGTGAGCACACCCTCTGCCACCCGCCCCCCCAGGCAATCGTGTTCTTGCTTGTGACAGCCTGACTTGAGTCCCCCAAGGGGCAGCCCACCGTCTGAGACGAGAAGAGGCTGCAGAAGGCACCCTGCTCTCTGCACACAACACGGCAGCTGGTAGGAGGGGGCCATGGAGGGGACATCAAGGCCACGGGGGAGGTTTTTTCAAAAGGGGGTCAATGATACACCCTTTTGGCACACCTCTCCTCCTCACAGCTGGTAGCAATTTATCAGCCACCTGGATTTAGCAACATTAATCTATTGGTCTAATCTGACACGTTTAAAACCAGATCTGGGAACCTCACTCAAGTCACCTCTCATTGTGGTTCCAATGACATGCGAGAAAGAGTCCATGTGGACATGAAGAATGACATCCAAATGTATCTTTCAACACGGCTTGTTTTTTAGGTTAAGTGTACCTCGTGGGTTTTCTACATTAAGACACAGTCTAACATCAGTACTTTGCTTTAAAACAACCCCTGAGCTGCCCTGGCCTGGTAGCTCAGTTGGTTAGTACTGTCTCCACACCCCAAGACTGCCAGTTCGATTCCTGGTCAGGGCACATACAAGAGGTAACCAACAAAGGCATAAGTGACTGAAGCAACAAATCACCGCTTTTCTGTGTGTGAAATCAATATATTACGAAAATGTTTTTAAACAATCCCTGGGCCAGTGGGTCTTTAAGAATTGATTTTATTATTAATCTAAAGGAGAAAACTGCTTCCTTTAAGACAGCTGATTCGCAGACACAATTTTTAAGTGCACAAATCACTGGTTTTTTACTAACTTTACAGCCTTGTGCAGCTGTCACCGCTCTCCAGTTTTGGAACCTCCCATCACCCCCAGGAGCTCCCCTAGACTTGCCTGCACTCAAGCCCACGCCCAGTCGCCCTCTACTCCTCCCAGCCGCTGCCTCGCCACCTGTTGCTATGGACTCGCCTTTCCTGGACATTCACGAAATAAAATAACCCGATGCACGGCACTCTGCCTTCCCTCACTCAGCGTGTCTCTGAGACTCAGCCACGCTGCTTTTTCCTTGTTGAGTAGTATTCCACCGAGTGAATATACTAGTTGATAACATTCGGGCCATTTCTACCTTTTGGCTACTATGAATATGCGGCTGATGTTCACGTCCAAGTCTCTATGATGACATGGATTCAAATGCTTTCATTTCTCCTGGGTCAATTCCTAAAGGTGCAAGTGCTAGATGGTGTCTGAGTCCACATTAAGCTTTTTAAAAATCTGCCTAATTCCTTTCCGAAGCAGCTGGACCCTTTCACATTCCCGCTGGCAGCGTCCAAGCACTCTAGCCCCCGGCCACCCGCCGACGCTCTCCCGCCGTCCGCCTCTCTCCCGGCGGCTGCCGAGCGGGCGTGCGGCAGCATCTCACTGCGGTTTTGATTCATAGCTCCCTAATGAGCAACCAGGTGGAACACCCTTTCTTTCTTGTGCTTATTCGCCACCCTGTATCTTCTCTCGACAAATGTTGATTCAAATCTCTCACCCATTTTTTTCATGCGGGTTATTTTTGTTTCAAATAATTAAAAAATCTGCTCCAAAATCTCCCTTTTCTTATACAGTGTAACTATTCTCATAAATTTCAATGTTAGGGCAGTTGGCTTATTAAAAAGCCCTTGAAGCCTACGTGAGTCCCATAACATACACCTGAAGCAGTAATAATAGCAACCCATAATCTAATGGACCTACTATGTGCTTGACACTGAGTGATCCTGGTGGAGACATCCACGGGACAAGATTAGAGCTTCTCAGCCTCGGCACCGGTAACATTTTGGGCCAGATAACTCTTCGCTGCGGGGGGGCTATCCTGTACCCTGTAGGACATTTAGTGGAACCCCAGGCCACTACTCACCCGATTACAGCAGCACCCCTCCAACCATGACCACCAAAAATAGTTCCAGACACCCTCTGGGACACAAAGCTGACCTGACTGAGAACCACTGAACTAGACCAGCAAAGGCAGTGCTTGGACATCTTTAGTGGGAAAGGGGACATTAGCCAGAATTATCCCTAGCACCACCCTTCCAGGGATAAGCCAAGTTGCCTTCCCTAGGCACCGAAGAGTATACATGTCTGATGCTTTATACATAAAGGTCAAGGACAGGCAGAACTGCCCTGACTGGTGTGGGCTGAGGGTCATCCTGCAACCTAAAGGTCATTGGTTTGATTCCTGGTCAGGGCACATGCCTGGGTTGTGGGCCAGGTCCCTGGCTGAGGGCGTGCGAGAGGCAACCTACTGAAGTTTCTCTCGCACAGTGTTTCTCGCCCTCTCTTTCTCCCTCCTTCCCTCTAAAAATAAATAAAATCTTTAAAAAATAAAGAACAAGCAGAACTAAACTGTGAGAGTAAAAGTGAGAACATAACCTTCGGGGGAGGGGATGATGACTAGAAGGGGCACAAGGGAGCATCTGGGGACGTTCACAGTATTTTCCACCAGCCCTGTCCGACAGTTTCCTGCGACGACAGGGAGATTCTACGTCCGCACTGTCCACATGCCATGAGGCCACTGGGGACCTGAAATGTGAACGGTGCAGCTAAGGAACCGAACTTTCAGGCTGACTACCTGCTGCTGTACTGAACAGCACAGTTCTGTTTAGCTGTGGGTACGGGTTTCACTTACATAAAACCCAAGCACCTGTGGACTTTAGACTCACTCACTCCACTCAAGTAGGTTCTACTTCGAGTCCGTTTCTCTGCATTTTGTTCTACAGCAAAGCTGCAGCAGGACTCCATGGCGACTCCGTGGCAGTGCCTTGCGAGACCAGGGCTCCTGAGGACAGAACTCCCCACCGAGCAACCCCTCCGTGGCCTCACCCTCAGCCTCTCCATTTTCAACGAGCTGAAATACTCCCTCCTCTCCACCCCTGCCTTCCCCACCGAACACACAACCCAGCAAGTGTTCCTTAGCTTATTTTGCCCAGTCCTGGGCCCACTGAATTAAGGCCACAACACCTGGGATGTGAAAAACAACTGATGAAAAATAAAGGCTGGACAAACTCAGGAAGGGAAGCAGTTCTCTTGCCAAGGTTCTCATCAGACTCCCCGTGGAGCTACAGATATGCTTTTAAATTCCTCAGGGGAATTCTTTCAGTTTTAAAATCTGGTAGTTTCTGACCACCAAGCACAAAAGACGTTTTTCGAGTCCCACCTGGGCTTCCACGCCTCACCAGCAGCAAGTGCGCCCTGACCACCCGGACCACCCAGCTGCTGCTCTGAAGGAGAGAGAGGACGCCCGCCAGACCCGAGCGCCACCTGAATGGCCAGCTGCAAAGACTGCAGCGCGGGGATGGCTCCACCTGCCTAAGGACGACTGTGCAGACCTCACCTCTGGTGTGCTAGCCCGCACAGAACCGTTAACAGCTCACTTTAAAGGAATAATCACCTGCGGCACCTGGACTGCAGCTCGCACGGGTGAACGCACGGCGTCTCTGAAAGGCACCCCCGGGACCGGCCCGGTGGACAGGCTGCAGGGCCCCAGCATTTCCGCTCTCTCCCCGACCCAGGCCTTCACTCCGTCCAGAGAGGACAGGAAGTGGGATGAATCGAGCTCTGCCTCCTTCGTCTTCCTGATCTTACTGACAAAAGACCCTCAGACGTGAGAGCAAATCTCCATTCCCACCACCCTGGCTTTAACAGCAGGTGGTCTGTGCAACTGCTCGCCTCACACGCTGGACTTCAAAGTCCAGTTCCCTAAAGCTCAGCCTTGCCTCGACTTGGTACTTTGTTCCAGCAACTACTTACAATCCTAGCAAAACTCCAATCCTGGCAATTTTCTTAGATGATACAAACACCTGAATCCCTCTACAGTCTTTCAGAGGTTCTTAATTTGAGATCCGCACTTCACCTAAAACTCAAAGTAATACTGTATATTTATGCATGCATTTTGGGGTGATTTCATTGCTTTCCTTATATCTGTAGTGATCCATGACACTAAAAACCTTCAGAACCATTGGTCTATTTCATTTTACAACCCTTTTTAGAGTTCTTTGTCTAGACAAACTAGAAGAGACCATTTCTTTTTTTTTTTTATCTGAAATGATTTTTATTTTCTTTCACAGTGAAGAATATTTGCATTATTGCTTTAATATTTTTTATGTGCCCCAGGCATGGAACAGCTCTGGCCATCAACCCAGGCACCAAACCAGGCTGAAGTAAGAACTGTACATCGGTTTTGCCCCTGACTGATGTAAGAGCAACACCACCAATGAGGTGTCTACTTGCCTATTTATTGCCAGGGGCTTTGCTTTAAAATTTTTTAAGTCTTTTTTTTTTTAAATATTAAATTTTATTTAGTTACTTTTCAAGTACATTTTTTTAAATCTATTTCTCCCTAGAAGAGACCATTTCAATGCTGGGTTAGTAAGCCTGCCAGATGGTCCGCCCATCACCTCTCCCTACGTGTTGTTAACCAGCTAGAGGTTACGTTGGCTCATATAAGGGGACTCAAAGGGATGGCGAGAGCAAGAGAGCCACGAACGTCTGCCGTCCCCGTATGCCCCCCCCACGACGTGAGGTCAGTGCTCAGCCCACTGAGAGGTGGGTCTACTTCTCTCCCTTTGAGTCCAGGCCTGGCCACGTGACTTGCTCTGACCAACAATTAGCAAACATGACCCAGCAGGGGCTTCAAAAGCGCCCACACCCCAGGTTAGCCCTCTCTTGTGGCTGGGAGCCCCAAGACCAGCACAGGGGGCAGCCCGGCTAGCCCCCCGGAGGACGAGGCCTCGGCTGTCCTGGCAGCCGCCCCAGTTTTGTGAATGAGGCCATCCTGGACCAGCTTCGCCAACTGGCCCCAGTTAAGTTACCCCAGAGCAAAGGACTCAGCCACCTAACTGACAGAATTACAAGAAATAGTACATTATTTCTAAGAAGTTATTAAGTTCGGGTGATTTGTTATGCAGTAAATAAGTATTAATTAAGCAGCCAAAGGACAATCCAAGGGACGACGAGAGCTCTGATGAGGGAGGGTCTCATGTCTGGTGCAGTGTCCCTGGTCCCCTGGACTTGGCCACCTTTCTCAGGGCCACTGGTACATTTCTCTGTGAAGATCCCACGGTGGCGGCCTCCAGGGAAAAAGCTCAAAGAGCAAACCAAAAGGGAAAAAAACCTCACTAAATCCTCTGGGTATCAAGAAACATCCCACTCAAGTTCTTTGTTCTCTCAAAAACTTCTCCTTTAATGAAAAAGCCTGGAAAAAATTCACTGTTTATGAATGCCACTTACTTTAAGTAGTTCATACATATAAAACCGGATATCAAAGTCTGTCAGGATCTGGTAAAGTTGCTGAAACAGATTTCAGAAAACAGAAGTTTAATTTAGTGTCATTGCATCTTGTCATCCTAAATGCTGCTCATTATTCTCTGTAAACTGAACGCCTGAGTCACTAAAGAATCCCAAACATTTTACTCCCTGACCTGTAACAAATGAGGACACAGACTAACATGAAGGTCTAATACTTTAGTCTTCAAAAGAAGAAGAAGAAAAAAAAAGGGATTCCAGGGGGGAGAACATTTATTCCAACCTGGACCCTTTGGAGACGTGTTTAATGCCCCCACCCCAGTTCCAACACCCACAACTGCGCTACAGTGGCCCCCAGTGCCCAGCTGCACGGCACGTGGGCTGGCCCCACGCGGCACCCCAGCACACTGCAGAGAGCAGAGCCCCCACAACAGAAGAACCCGAGAAAATCCGCTGGCCCGTGTGGCAAGACAGCAGCAAGACGGCCAACCTGCCCATGAAAGAAACACAAGGAAAAAGAACTGCTACAGCACTTAGAAAAGGCAAGAGACAAAAAAAAATCTATGCCCTCCACTCCCCCCAAACCAACCCCAGGCTGGAGAAAAGAACACTTCGCAGGCACTGCTGATGGGAACCAAAGAAGCCAAATGTCTCAGGGAGAAGGAGAAAGGAGTGATGGAGTGCAGTGTTAAAAACCGACTCGCGAATGACAGTTTTCATTAGTGACGATCCAAAGACCCGCCCACTGGGAGATTTTTTTTTTTAATTTCAATTTCTAGGAGGTAAAGTGGCATTTTTGAACCCAGGTTCATTAAGACCACAAACTCTTGTCAGAAACTATCCTATTACTTCTGATAATCAATTCCAAGTAACTTGCTTTCCCCGTCAGCACTTCCTATGAAATTAAACAGCACACCTTTACGAAACATATTTTGTTTCTCTTTCTCACAAGACTCCAGCAATACACGGAAACTCTCTGCAAGCAGTAAGAACGGTGTCTATGTGAAGTAAAGGGGGGGGACAGCGGGGACTCGGGAATGAAGGAGACTTTTACTGCATGTACAGTATTTCGTATTTCAGATCCATGTAAATAATTATCTGTTCAAAAATTTTTTTAATTTGCTAAAAATCATATTTAACATTTTCTAAGAACACCAGGACTCCTTTCTCTCAAAGGCCCCCCTTTAAATTAGAGTGCTCCCCCCTGCAGCCTAGCAAGGGTGTCTGGTTTCCTCAACCTTGGTGAGGAGTGCAAACATCCGTCCCGTGCAGCTGCTGCTGGCGCCCGGGGGCTGCTCGCCCAGGGAGGCTCACCCGGTAGGGGCTGAGGTGCACGCAGGCACAACGGCACCACCACGCCGCCACCACTGCCCGGAAGATTCAACTCCCTAACAGCCCAACACCCAAGTTTTTGTTCTCCTCCAACACAACCCCAACCTGTATGTACAGAACCAAGCCGAAGATCACCATCTGTGTGCATGTCAAATCAGCTCCTGCTCTGAGTTAGGGAGATCACTCCCAGAGACCAGGCCAAGTTGAACCTCAAGTCAGTAAGTAGGCCATGCGAGAGAACAGCAAGCTCGCACCCTCAGCGGGCGAGGGCATGTTGCATCCCAGAACACACGTGGGCTACTACTCTATCTGGGCTTTTATCCGTGGAAGGCTTTCTCCTCCTGTCAGGCACCTGGGTAACGGTCTGGAAGGGGTGCCCACCTGCAGCCCAGGGTGGCTATGAATGCGGCCCAGCACAAAACCATAAATTTACTTAAAACGTAAGAGGTTTTTTTTGTGATTATGTGTGGCAATGTATTTAATGTGTGACCCAAGACAGCTCTCCTTCCAGCATGCGCAGAGACGCTAAAAGTTGGACACCCCTGGTCTAAGGCATAAATAAATGTCCTTGGACTACAGCATAGGATTTCCAGCCACTCCAATTAGCACCAATTCTTTGTAGTACAAAAGTACTAGGTGAACATAGCAGTTAGGTCTGATGTGCTCCAAAGTCCTGGACAACAGGCTGATGCTGACTTGTACTTCTCGGGAGCTCTGGGTAGGAAGAAACCAAATGGCACCTGCAATATTTTATATTTTACCTCCTGGGCTAAAAAATTCAGGACCTGCCGGGGTCCACATCCGGCTGCCTCCAACTTTTGGAGCCGTCCCCACTGCAGACCCCGGGGCTCCCACTCTGACCAAACGAACCTGGGTTTACCACCTCCATCTACCCTCTCCAGTGCCCCCATGCCCCCCGAATCAGGAATACCGTGCCCCCGCCCTCGCCCAAAGAGGTCAACTCACTCCCATCCTGATGCCACAGAGCTGAACCCCACCCTCTGCCCGTTCCGCAGGACACGGCAGCAACCGGGCTGATCAAGGCCGTTTCACACTCCGGGGTGAACAAGACGCTGCCTCACTCTGCTCTCATCCCAGAAGCTCCAGGGAAGTGTCCTTGCGTGCTGTGGCATACACACGCGGCTGCAACCGGTGGCAGGCACCACTCCAGTGGGTCAAGGTCTCTGAACACTCCCTCCCCCGCCTACGTCAAGAATCTAACACACAAGTGGAGCCAAACACTAAGCCCTCACGTAGCAGAACGCCGTGTGCTTTACACGCCTGTGTGTTCCACACTGAGTATGGCGTCCTCTCCCTGCACACGGAAGGCAGTTGAAAACTACTTGTCTTTAGATGACATTCTAGTCAACAGAACAAAATTAAAACTGCCTTACAAAAACCCAGAAGCACTGAGTCCCTGACAAACAAGCAAAGGACACTCCACAAGAACCAAACTTTTTCTCCATTCTTCTTAGCCAGCTATGTGGAGAATATCACTAACCAAACAACTGCAAAACGTTGGCAGGATGTTAGCTTTTCTTACATTTTCATAAAGTAATTGTCTTATCAAAAACAAAACAAGCCCATGCTTCCCGGCAGATTTACAAAGGTGCCGTGGAAGGAACTGGTCGCCGAGCCCAGCCTGGCTCCAAAGCGGCACCGGCACCTCCCTGGAAACAAGTCCTGGAGTCCTACCCGAGCAGGGGTGGGACTGCTCGCAGGGCCCGCGGCAGGAGTTTCCTGGGACTTGACTTCATCTCAGGAAGTTGGAGGAGGAGAGCGGGAAAAACGCAATTCCATCGTCAGACTCAGAGCCTCCCTAGGCTCCTCAGACTTAGAGCCAGCACCCAGAGAGGAACGCCCCGGGCGGCCTCACTCCCGCTGTCCCACACAGACGGGTCCACAGCTTCCGGTTCCGGGCAGCTGCAGACCCAGAGCCCCATCCCCAACAGTCATCATCTGGGAGGACTTCCCACTGTCAGCCAGCCACGGCAATCAACACAGCGACTCTCACCCTGGACAGAGGGCTTGCACATCTCCGACACACACAGCTCAGGCACAAGCAGAAATCCCAGGGGTCCCCACACGGGGACAGGAAAAAGCGGGGAGAGTGGCACAGAAAGTGAGTAAACGATGCTCAATGCGGCAGTCTCCCGTTTTGGCACTGTGAGCCCCTCACCCCAAGATCCAGAACAAAACCAAGGTCAACGTTTTTAGAAATTAATGGAGCAGAACAAATCACTAGTCAGGGTCCACCCCTATGTGATGTAGAAATTCCCCACAGATCAACACCATCTTCTCCAGATGGAGCATCTGCAATGTCTCACCAATCTCCGAAGTGTCCAAATGACACACTTAAAGTGTATATTCATTTCTATTTATACTTTCCAAGGCCCAGAAAACTGAGAAGCATGTCTCAACAGAAATTACAATATGTCACCCTGGCTCGTATGGCTCAGTAGTCTGAGCGCTGGCCTGTGAACCAGAGGGTCATCAGTTCACTTCCCAGTCAGGGCACATGCCTGGGATGTGGGCCAGGTCCCCAGTAGGGGGCACGTAAGAGGCAACCACACATTGATGTTTCTCTCTCTCTCTTTCTCCCTCCCTTCCCCTCTCTAAATATAAATAAATAAATAAATTTAGCCCTGGCTGGTGTGGCTCAGTAGACTGAGCGCCAGCCTGTGAATCAAAGGGTTGCTGGTTTGATTCCCACTGAGGGCGCAGGCCGGGGTTGCAGGCCAGGTGTCCAGCTGGGAGCACGAGAGGCAACCACATTTGAAGTGTCTCTCCCTTTCTTTCTCTCCCTTCACCTCTCTCAACAAATAAATTTAAAAATTAAATAAATAACTTAAAAAAAAAGAAATCACAGCATTTCTACTTTGAAAAGGCACCTTACCCTCTTTGAGATAATGTGGAGTTTGAGTTTTCTGTAACTGTTCACTTCAACTTTTAGAGACTGGCTTTTCCTACTGATTTGAAGTTTTGTCTTTTGTTCCAAGTATTACCATGTATCTTTTATTGTCACTTTGACATATACGAAGTGTTATAACTGATAATTTCAAGGAGAAACTGACCAAAACAACCTCTACCATAAAATGAAATATCAAGGGAAACAATGAGTAAGGCCATAAAAGATATGAACTAAATTAACAAGCTTGATATAAAAACTGACCATGTACTAAATTCCAAATAATAAACACTCTGTTGATCATGTTCTCTGGACACAGTGCAACCAAATTAGGAATCATTAACAAAGAAATTTTTTATTTACTTTTTATTTTTTTCAAACTATAAGAGGAAGTTTGTTTTGAAAATCACAAAGGCAGACAAAGTGAGCCATGGAAGAAATGGGCCCAGGAACAGCCCTCAGACTGCAGGGGAGAGAAGGGTGAGGGGTGAAGGAGACACATGGGGGGGGGGGTGCAGGAAAGGCCTGGGCAAGCTCCTGAGAGAGAGGGCGCCCAATGTTGTTGTTTTTTAACCATGTGGATACTGGATCATACATTCACCGCCCCAAAGGATATTCCCAAACAATAATTACTGGGAAATGTTTAATGTAGACCGTATACTGCCTGTTACACAGCATCACTGTATAAATATTAAAATTCTTAAGTGTACTAATAGTACTGTGGTTCTGAAAAGAAATATCCTACCTAGTTCCAAGGCCAGTATATCTAGGAGTGAAGTATCGTGGTGCCTGCAACTTTAAGATGACTTCAGCAAAGAGAGAGCTCAAGATGAAAAGCGCAGAGGGGATGGGAGAAATAAATGCAAACGTGGCAAAACAGGAACTGATAAATCTAGGAGAATAACATAAGGGTCCTGACTGCACGACTCTCTCCAATTTTCAGTAGGTCTACAAAGTTCCCAAGCAAAAAGTTTGGGGAGCAAAAACCAAACCCACAAGTCTGGAATCTGTACTTCTACTTTGAGCGCAGAATGAGTTCCATAACCGTGAAACCAGCTAAAAGGGTGCTCGAGGTCCAGACTCACTACCACTCAAGACAGGAGGAGGCAAATAAGGCGACGCCACCTCAAGAAGTTACAGGAAAAAAACAAGAAAGAAAAGAATTAAGAAAATCACACATTAATAAATGATGAGAGAGGAAACAGAAGGAACTAGAAAAACAAACAAAAACAACGCCTGTGCCCTGACCCTTGTGGTGAGCTCAGTTGGTTGGGTGTCCCCCCTGCAAAGAGCACGGACAGTCACGGGTTCGATTCCCGGTCAGGACACATGCCTGGGTTGTGGATTCGGTTGCATGTGAGGCAACTGATCAATGTCTCTCTCTCATTCCCCTCTTTCTCCCTCTCTTCTCCTCGAAGTAAATAAGATCTTAAAACACACACACATTAAAAAGGGAGCAAGGGAGAGTCCACAGGACACCCCCACGGCCTCCTCCGCTGTGGCGACCAAGACGCCAGCGGCCAGGCCCGTGACCTCGGGCCAGGAGCTGACGGTCACCCCTCAGTAACTTCATTGCTCCAAAGTATGAGCAGACACTGAGGACTGTAACATTTCAGATAAATGGAATAGAGAACAAAACCAGAAACACTCTAAAAAAGGAATTTGGAAGAAAAACAAAAAAACAAAAAAAAAGAAGGAAAAAACAATGGGGAAAAAGAAACACACTCTCAGTGAGAAAAGAGAAAATATTACATAAAAAGATAAAAGGATACTCTTTCAAAGGGTGCAGAGAGACTTCTAAGACAGGAAGGCTCGCATCCGAATGAGTTCAAGAAAGTGGGAACAAAGAAAAAAGGGAAGAAAATCAAAGAACATTAAAAGTATTTTTCCAAAATGGAAGGACATGAGTTTCTAGACTGAAAAAGCCCAGGGAGTGTCCACAGTGACAGGCGAACGCGTCCCCTGTGAGACCTTGTCCCCGTGAAACTCGAGACTGGGAATGAATGGAGAGCCCATGAACGCTCAGAAGAACAGAGGCCAGATCACGTCAGGGGAAGCCAGGACGGCTTCCGTGGGGAGAGCAGACAATCTCCCCAAAATTCTGAGGAAATTACTCTTTACGACCCGAGTTCTATGACTATGGCAAATATGTAACTGGGAGACTAACAAAGATGTTTTCAGGTAGGCAAGCCTCTAAAAACATTAAATTGCCATGAACCTTTTAAAGAAAGCTCTGGAGAATGCATGCCATCAAAACATCCCCTTTTTAAGAAGTCAGCATCCTCTACGGAATTAAAAACTGACCTTCTGCGTGTTGTTAAATCATCCCATCAGTGTAAGAGACACAGCACGCTGAAGCGAAAGTTCACACGTGTGGCTGGATAGTTGGAAACTCGTGAGGAAGCAGAGGCATTTAAAACAGGGATTTCCCTGTGAAGTTCCACGAAGACTGCCTTTGGAAGTCTTGTATTAGGAAACTGGTTCCTAGAGCCTGTCTATTTCTTAAGAAACACACACTCCCTTTGAAAATCCAGGTCATTCACAGCAACAGTGAGGTCAGTGCACACACCAGCACAGCTCTTCCCAGTGAAGCGCTACTACGCTAGTTAACGAAAAAATTGACACCCCATTTTTTCGAGTTCCCTGTTGGGTTAACAAGGGAATCTGTTATATGGAGAATGCACACTGTACGTAAAACTTGCTTACTGTTTTACAAGCCATAGTACCCTCTGTAGCTTATTTTTCACTAGCCTTACAGAAGTTTTAGAGTGATTGTCAAAGAAACATGAAATGTGAGAACAAGGTTCTTCTATTTTCTTCCCCAAGTGTCACTCCCAAAACCAGCACATTTAACTGTGACCCGGTTTCGTCCCCAACTTCCGCTGCAACTAAACCACAAGCCAAAGCTGTCATCACCCAAAGGTTCTCTAAATACCCCTAAAAATCAATACCACTTTTGATTAAAAAAAATTTTTTTATATTGGTTTTCATATTATGCTCTACTATGTCTATATGCCTGGCTGCCAAACCTTATTACAAGTTAGGGTTGCAAAACAAATTCATGAAATCCAGCTTAAAACTGTGCTTCTAGAAGGACATTTCAAAGTCTAGATGAATACACATTGCAAATATAAGAAATTAAGTAACCCGGGCAGGGCTTTTCCGTGTGTCATCTGCCCAGTACGCGGTGTGCACGAACACACGCGATCCGAGAGCCTGAACCAGATGCACTGCTTCTCCTCACGTGAGCCCTGTGCCTGCCCGTCACTTCCTACCAGCCGTGCTGGAGCCCAAGACAATCCAAGTTGACACCCACCTGAACCTGCTGTCGCAACAGGGCTGTCTCAGCTGCGGCATGCAGTGGAGACCCAGCCCAGGTGCTATTCCCAGAGAAGACAAAGCAAAGGGAGCCGAGTAATTTAATTACGCCAAGCGCAAGAACCCCGACCCCTTTCTGAATCCTATACTCGTGCCAGAAGGAATTTGGTTTGTTACCTCCTACTCTCCCCAATGACCTTTCTGCCCCCTTGTGCTCCAGAGTATCAACAGTGCTTTCTGCCACCTCCCCACCCCCACGAGCCCCCATACCAGAAAGAAGCATATACGCACCTTAAAGTCTGTATTATTGATATATTCGAATACCAAAGCTGGTGTCTTTGACTGCAAGAGAGAACACGAATACTTAGTAAGTACTCAAACAATAAACATAACTTGCTTCTGTTGCACTGGCCCATCCTCAGATCCCACTCAGATGAAAAAGATTCATCTACCAAGAGAGAGACTAGTAAGAAAGTATCCTCTTGAAATTTTATGTCTGGAATTTGCTTCAAAATAACAGGATGGTGGGGAATAGGGCGGGGCTCCAATGGACCCATGCAGGGGCCACATGCGGGCCGAGGGAGGGCCGAGGGAAGGCCGAGGGAGGGCCGTGTGCAGGCAGGCTCGTTATACTACTCACTTCTGTAAGGGGCTGACATTTCTAATAGAGTTTTTTTGTTTTTGCTTTTGTTTTTTTAAAAAGATGTATTTTCTGACCAACCTATCCAGCGGGCCTGCCACACTGTGTGAAGATTTAGACTTTGCGAGGATCCAGTTTGCCAACCACAACACAAGTCTTTTCGGGGTGCAGAAGGAAAACAGCTACAGTCATCAGCAAGCCATGTGGGATCACTTCCTTAGCCAGCGACCATCAGAGATGTGTTCCCCCAAATCATATATAATCAAGTATTTTTAAAGCAATATAATCTTTAATGCAATGAGTACAAAACAGCATTTCCTTGGTTTATAAAACAAAGGTTTTCAAATGACAAGTTTACTTAAGTGAGGAAGAAGAATGTTTGATTCTTCAACCTGCCTTATTGGCAGTAATAAGCTGTCAAAATCAGGAGAAAAGCAGAGGCTTAAAAGCATCATCTTGGAGAGCTCGATGACTGGGAAGTCACCTAGGCCAGCGCTCGCCCACTGAAGGGTTTCATCACGACCACCAGCGCTCCCTGCAGGCTGGGAGGAAGCATGGTCCTCTCTAAGCCAGGGAAGGAGGGCTCCCTGTTGGTTTCATCCACTTCAATTCACCTGTTACACATTGTATAACACACACACACACACACACACACACACACCCCTTAGTAATAAGTTACAAAAGCAGAAAGGCGGCCGCCACTAAGTTCTGTGTCACTGCAAAATCAATGTGGTCAGATCAGACTGGCATATGGTTTTAATGCCAATTAGACAGCATCTGAGGAACAGAACTATCCTTCTCAGTCTTTTCAGGGACCAAATTAAAAAATCTTCCCTTATTCTTCAGTTCCAGTCTTGGGCCAGTCAGGTACCCTCTGCAGACTGGTTTCTGTACCTGCGCCATGTGGCGCCGCACACAGTGACAGCACCTGCCTCCGGCCTGGCGTCAGGGTTAAACAAAATGACACAGTTCAACACTCGGAACGGTGCCCGGCACACAGCACGTGCCCAGCGCACATCGGCTACGCGATTACAAGGACGTCTTTGACAGACGGACGCCAAGACCCACTTCTTAAATGCACAAAAGCTATCACGGGAGAGCAGGGACGTATTTGAGGTACAGCAGGTGAAGAACAGAAAAGGGACGGAAAGTGGTATAAAAGTGATATAAAAGGGCCTCAGTGAATCATAAACACTGAAGGTTAAGTTACTCCCGGGCAGAGGGCTTCCCAAAGGGCTGGTGGGCCCGTGACCTGCCCGGCGACCCCCACCGGTGTCCCCATGGAGACACTCGGGGTTTCCTCTGGTGAACCCAAGTCTTCGATGTAAAGGTAAAACAGTGTTAACCAGGAGCAACAGACTGATGGACGGGAGAAGAGCAGGGCCTTAAAGGAGACACTCAGCAAACGCGTATGTGAGCTGAATCCAAGTAATGAGGTAATAAAGCGGGAACGGGGATTTGTCCACATAATGGACACTTTTAGGTTCTACAGGACGGGTGGTGCTGTTTTCTCACTGGGCCATCATAGTTTTTTGTTTTTCAAAATCATTCAGTAGGAAAGGCCAACACAATCATCCTTACTATGTAATATGTCTCCTTGTATTAGGTTCTATGTGTGACACACACATACACACACACACACACACACACACTCACTCTCCCCCAACCTTCGGGCACCTACCACAGGGTCCTTCACAGTGTCAATCAGCTTAATGATATTCGTTCCACCACGAAGGTTCTCCAGAATCTTAACCTCTCGTTTTATCTTCTTTTTCTTCACTGGCTTAAATACACAAGAGTAATCAGAGTGAGACTCCCTTTGAAATTAACACATAAAACTTTAAAATGACGTTAGCTAATCCAACGGCCATTGCACTATCTTGTGCACCATGTTATGTTTGTCTAAATCAGAAGAGGAAAAAAGTCCAGATAAATGGGCCTGTCCATAAGAACTTACAAGATTCAGTTAAATAATTTACAGACTTATAGCTTATGTGTCAGATCTTAAAGTAGGGCACTTAAAAAAATTTTGAACACCCATGTCATACTTTAAAAATAAAATGCTCACTGGGTAACGGCCAAGTGGAAAATGTTACAGCTCCGAACAGCTGTATACATGCGTCCGCAGGCGGAAAAACTTCCACAAAATGGTGAGGCACCTGCTCTTCCAGTGAGTTACATGGAATTTTGTCTTTCAGGAGTGAAGACCGGTTCGCTGACATCAAGTTACAAACTTGTTTCCCAGCTGCTGGCTCCCACTTCCTGCCACCACTCCCATTTCCTTAATATCTGAAATGAGCGCAGAGCCAGTAAAACTCCCCAACAGACCCCACTCCCAAAGAAAGAGATAGCGGATCAGCAAAGGAGGTGGCAGATCGCCCATCAGCGCTGACTGCAAACCTCGGTTACCCGCTCCCCTTTCAAACTGCTCCATGCAAAAATTAAAGGCCTTGATTGGAAACACTAGTATTACATCTGCTATTTCTTAAGTGGCCCAAAGAGTCTGAAGTAGGCCCACCACAACCGGCAGTGTTTTATAAAGCACCTAGCATGGTTCTGGCACACAGTGAGCACCCTATAAACGTCGAACTCATTTCCCAGTTTGTAGTTAGTGGTGAGTCTTACTTCATCTCCACAAAACCCCCACATACAGATTCGGCCAAGACGAGCTGTGTGCCCAGGCGCCCACCCTCCCGCCCTTGCTACCAACAGAGAGTGAGGGTGGGAATCACGCTGAGACGGCCGGACTGCAGGTCTCACCGGCAGCCACTGTGCTTTCATTTCCCAAGTGCGGCCACGTAACTGACGTAACAAAGGAAAAGGAATATTCCATCACTAAGACACCGTTACAGTGAAACAGCACAGAAAGAGGGACCAGTGGTCTGCCATGAAACAAGACTTAAAAAAAGCCTCTGGGGGGAGGGGTGGGGGGAGGGGTGGTAGTGGTGGCAGCAGCGACAATGGTAGGGGGAAATGACGTATACACATGCCAGAGAAACCTTCATCTGCTGTTGGTCACTAAGCTACAGCTCTGAACACATAACAGAACAGAGGGAGAAAGTGAATGAGAAACAGCATCCCCGTCCCCTATAAAGAGGGCTCCACCGAGAGACTGGAATCTGGCTGCGTTCCTCCACGCCAGCCGCCAACGGTCGTGCCCGCTCCACCCTGTCAGGGCTCCCTGCAGAGGAGGTGTGGTGGCTGTGTCCCTTCCCCATCTCCACTCAGCAGTCTTCCTCCTTATTCTCTCTCATGATTAGGGAGGCTCGACACTTTCGGGAAACGCGGCGCTCAAACGTGCAGCCAGAGAAGGACATGCTACAAAACAAGGAGCCCACAAGCTTCAAAAAATGTCAGCGTCGGGAAACACACCAACTGAACAACTGCTCTGTTTTGCATTAAAAGGACAACTCAGCGTGACACGTGACCTGGGATTTTCTTGGATATAAAGAACGTTATGAGGACAACTGGCACAGGCGAACGGGAACTACAGATTAGCTCATAGCGTCGTATCAAATGTCATTTCTGATTTTTGATCCTGGCACTGTGGGTTATGTCAGAAACTGTCCTTGTTTTTAGGAAACACACACTGAAGTAAGGATGACTGCCAATTTACTCTCAGGCACTTCAAAAAAAGAGACGTGTAAACCAGACACAAAGATGTATGTATGTGCGCATCTATATGAAAGAAAACTAGAGAGGATAAGGCAACGGCAACATTTGAGAAATATGGGTGAGGTACATGGGGATTCTCGCAGCTTTTCTGTAAGTCGGAAATTATGTCAAAAGTTCAAAAATAAAAAATAAAAGTTGGCCACCATATCTATAAATTCAGCCAATGCTACCAATATATTCAATGTAAGAAATTCTCGATTTGTCGCCCAGTCTGGGAAATCAATTACAGATCCGTGGGGTGGGAACAGAGAAAAACACAACCGACCAGCCCCAGGCAGGAGGCGGTACAGACCAAAAGCCCACTTTTCTTCCTGTGCACTATACGGGGTGACCCACCAAACTCGTGGCTTCTGTAACAGTGCCACATATGAAGTTTTGCTCTGTATCCTGTCACTCAGTGGCAGGTCACACAGGTACACTGTTTCTGGGCAACCCAGTGAAGATGAAGCTATCTTTCGTTATGTCTGAAGGTCACTCACAGACCAAGTGAACGTATTTTGCTGCTTAAATGTTACCCGTTCAACAATTCCCAAAGCAGAGATTGGGGACAGTGGGGCGAATGATGTGGCGCAATGCAGTCAGACAGCAGCTGGAGTCCTACCACGGTGACAACAGACCAAGAGACTGTAAACGAGGAAGGTGACTGAGAGTCCAGGACATGCCCCTGCGAAGCGCGGGCACCCCCTCTCCACGGGCACCAGACGGCAGGGGACACCCTTTATTCAGCCTCAGCTCACCCCTCCTGAGCCTGTGAGATGCTTCAGAAGCCAAAAACCAGTGCGTTCCCGGGAGGGAAAGGGACCGACTGTCTACGCAGAACCGGAGGGAGAAAGTGAGGGTGTGTGAGGGAGGATCCTTCGCACCAAGAAAGCGGGTCATGGACTTTTATAGAGACAAGGCGGCTCTGACTCTCCGGGCCAGTGTTCGCACTCACTCACCCCAGTAACAAAGTGGAGAAAATACACACACTTTTATAACAATCTCATCACTGCATTTCATCAGAGGCCAAAAAAAGTCTCTCCCATTAACGTTCATTTATTACAATTCAGAGATTATGTGTTTAAAAGACTCTAACTGGATCAGCCTAGCTATTTTCCAAACCAAAAACAAAAAAAAAATTTTAATCACAGTCTAGCAGAGAAAATGGCAAATATCTTTCAGATTGTATTTATTTATTTTCAGACAGAGGGGAAGGGCAGGAAACATCAATTGGTTACCTCCCATACACACCTGACCAGGGACCAAACCAGCAACCAGCAACCAGCATGTACCCTGACTGGGAGTCGAACTGGTGACCTTTCATTCTGAGGAATGACAGACACCCAACACTGCTCAGGGCAGTGGCAAACAGCTTTAAAAAAGAAATTAAACCAAGTGTTTTCAAAATGTATTAAACCAAGTTTCAAAAGAAAGGAAATTTGGCACACACCTGAGAGAGAATGTGTAAAGGAAAAACCTCATTTAAAATTTTCTGTGCCTGACCTCTGGAAAGGAATGGAGGGAGGGAGGGCCTTCTCAGAAGGTTTCCACCCACGTGGTGAGGAGTCCCAACTATTTAGCAAAACCTTGTTCACTGTAATCCAAGACTAAGGTACTTTTTCTCTTTCCCTATTTACCAACATTTCCAAATTTCAAGATGAAACACAAATTTAGGTATGGGATGCTTGGAAGCACAGAAGGTGATCTGTCCTATTTATTTACTCAGAGTTGCTTTTTGAAAAGCCAGATCTGAGAATGAACTCTACTAGCATTCAATTATGACTGAATATGTAAACTACCATCTACCAAATGCGTAAAAATAAATGCTATCAGGAAATAAATGCCAGCAAATACTATCAGGCAAAGTCCCATTTTAATTTCTTTGCATTTCTAAGTAATTGATAAATCCAAGACAGGCGGGACCAGAGATCAGAACTTTCAAATCTGGGTTCACTTCCATTCCCCCACCAGAGCAACGACCGCCCCAACGAAGGTGCGAGTCTCGTGGTCTGCAGTGAGCAATTCCAGAGACTGGTTGCCAGGAACACAGGGTGAAGCGAGGAAGAAGGTCCAGCCCAGATGACAACTCACTCTACCTCCGCGGCACGTCTAAAATCTACCAGAGCAACGCCGTCTCTTCACCGCAACTCCCCCCGATCTTTCCAGTCTCATCTTTCCACCAGTTATATTACCAACACCTGAGGGTAACTGTTTATTTTTCAGGATTTAATTTTGTTTTAATTTAAAAAGGCAAGGCACATAGCAGGCCTTCTGACTCTCATTGAGAGAATGGTAGTCCTTTTCACTATTGGTTCCGTCCTTAAACCACAGGTGGCACACACAAGACTTGCGGGTGAACCTAGCCCTCCACCTTGTTTCTATGCGGTGGCAGCACTGAGCTCTCACTTAACAGTTAAGGAGCAGTTACATTTATAGTCCTAAAATCACCGCAGCTATGACCCCCGGTGAAAATGAGTTTGACATCTCTGCCCTAAACCATTCACTTGACCCAACTACCACACCATTAGTGTGCTTACTGCTTTGTAAGTGCCACGCACGGGTTTAGGAAGATTTTAATCAACATCTATTAGTACTCTGAGATTAGTACTTTTAACAGTCTTCCAGGTCACTGAGACAAGGGTTCAATCACTGCCCGAGTCCACAGAGCTTCTGAGTTCTGGAATTAACACCTGAATACGGGCAGCTCCTTTCCCAGGAAAGAAAACTACTTTGTGGATTACGACGACATTCTCCTCTACCGCCTCACCTACCCATGTCCCACGTGTCTCTCACAACAACCCTACACAGTCAACGGGAAAGGCACACCCATTTTACTGATGAGAAGAGTCGAGTGGGTACACACAGAGCTGCTTTAGAACCCTAGTCTTCTGCCCTCCACTTACACCACTTCTCATCCTATATACCACCCTGATTTGGGGGCAGCAAACCCTAAACTTAGGCTCTACAAATTATCTGGAGCTATGCTCTATATGTGAAGTTGGGAACTCTATATCAAGATATTCTTTTCACACGTGGTTTGCTCTCCAAACAACTTCAACAAACCTATTAAAGGGATAAAACCATCAACCAAAAAATCTGGCCCGTCATCATGCTGAGATATGGAGGAACTGTATGGGTTTAAAAAAATGGAAAATACTGGTTCCCGAGGCCTCCAGCTGCAAAAGTAAAGCAGCCGGTTCACTTACTCATGAAGCTGCTGTGGACACAGATCAGAACCCCGGTCTGCACCTGCGGATCTCTCTGTGCATCCTCCTATTCCGTACCTCAGCCAGCAACCCGCCGAAGTCAAGGGTTTCCTTTCAGGAGAGCAACTCCGAAAACCACCAGCAAGTAAATTGCACTATTAGGGAGTGCTCGTCAATCCACCCGGTACATCAAGAAGTCAGATCCCCAGCAAACGTGCTCCCTGTGCTCCCCCCTCTCCCGCAGGAGGAAGAGTCCTAAGCCCACTACCTCCGCCGCCGAGCATGGGACCTTGAGCAAACAGCATGCTCTCTCTGGGCCTTGCTTTTTACTTTTTTAGCCTCACCAGAGGGCATCTTCTCCCTGCTTTGGGAGATGGAGAAACACTGATGCCAGAGAGAAGCACCGATTGGCTGCCTCCCGTAAACGCCTGGACCGGGGACTGACCCTGCAGCCTTTGGGTGACAGGACAATGCTCCAACGGAGCCATCCTGGCCAGGGCTGGGCCTGGCTTTCTAAAAACATTGCTCTTAACTTCTATTCAGGAAACAGTTCGAGGATCCCAGGAAGCCCAACAGGTGCTAAAAGGCACCTGTGAGCAGCTGACAAAATGCTGAAAGCTGTCCCAAATGGCCAGATGCTTTCATCTCTGTACATACTTTTCTAGGAGGTACTATACAGGAACTGAAAAGTTGTTTTCTCAGGATCAAAAGAGGAAACTTTGGGCATGGACGTGGCATTCTGCCCTGCTCCATCAACCCTTACTATGCCCCTCCCCTACTTTTCTCTCCTCTCAAAATAATTTTCATCAAAAAAATATAACCATCCTACTGACTGGAATGTTTTACAATTTCAGCTTCAGACTTTCACTTCAGGATAAACAGTAAAATTATGCTCACCAATTTCTAAATTCCTAAGGCCTCTTAATAACCAATATGTTTTGATCGATAACACACTCTTTAGAAATCTACCACGGATGCAAACTAAGTGACAGGAGATCCCTCTGCAGTCAGCCATCACCCAGCTGCCCTCACGTCCTGGAAAGCACCCACGGAAACGTTACTGCCACGGCAGGCGCCCCCAGTCCTCAAGGAACGTGCCTCCAGCTCGGTCGCTGTGTGCACGCTAATACAGATTCCTTCCTGCAGCTGAAACGTAGTAGGCCTACACAAAAAGGAAGTGTTTCTAGATGCCTCCAAATTACGAGCCGCTTGTACGGTGAAGGACCTAACTCCCCAGGACCAAACACCACGACAGTAATTATTAGTCATAATTTCAACTTCTCTTGATTAGAGGAAGCACAACTTTGGATAGACCTTATTCTTTAAAAAAAAAAAAAAAATTTTCTTTTCTTAAATTCTACTTTAACCCAGCCTGTCAGAACAATGAGAAAACCATAGTTAATACCATTAGCAGTTTCTTACCCCATCTGTCAGACAGAACAAGATCTGGACAGAAATGCCACAGGGCTTTGAAAAACATAAAGGGGTGAACGTAGTTTTCACTAGTGGAAGCAAGGTGGTTCAGGCCGTGCCCTGAAAAGAACTTGCATCAAAGAGAAACAAAACAACACTTCATTAACGAGAGCATCAGAGGGGCCTCCCAAGCCTTATTCCAGAACACTGGAACTTAACCTGCACATGTCACGACGCCAAGACGAGCACTGAAAGACAGGAAAAAACAGGACACAGGCGTTCTGGCTGTGGGTCACTTCAACACTGTGATGTTAGATGAGGTCTGTTTTGTGTGTGCACATGTGCTTACTCTCTTCTCTGGAAAAATAACCTCAGCTTCCAAAGTGGGTTCCCTAAACACCATACGTATTCTGCAATCCTTCACAAGGGCGTGGGGAAAACTACCTAGCAACTGACACCATCCAGTTCTCTCTCGAGAGGACTCCAGAGCAGCGGGATGCTTTCCTAAATGAAAGTGCCCTTCCCTACGCACACACCTGAATGCTGTTCCTCTCAAAAAAGACACTACAGGAAGATGCATTTACTCGAAAAATGCTGCCATCACTCAAAAGCTTGGCCATTTTTTCTGGATTTGCTTTAGAGTAAGCAGTTCATTCTTCTGAATGCACAGCAGCGGAACATGGATATTCCTGATTTCAATGTACGCCTTGCTTACTTCCTAGAAGTATTTTGAGCAGCTTCTACTAAAAAGTTTTACGCTTATGTCTACAGCAGAAAATTGTATGACTTCCCCAGGTGACCTTTCTGAAAGAAACCTTCCGGTAAATCTTTATGCTTTGTGAGTGTTAGTTCCTGTTTGGGAAGAGAGGAGTCCCACTCTATCTTTAACACCAATTTCTCCCCCCCACCCCGTGTTTCTAACGGCACTAACAACTGCTTATTTCTCTGTACCCGCAATTCTGCTTCTTCCTCGCCAGGCTAGAATGATACTGAGAAGTGATCACTTTTCTGGAAGGTGATTTTCAGACAGTGTAAGTCCGACCCCTTGGCTCTAAACAAGGGCATGGGTGCCCTAACTCTGACCTTCAGACACAAAAACAGTTTTCAACCTCACAGTCTTATTCACAGAGCCTCTGCACAATGTCACAATGTCCACACTAGGAATCTTTCATCGGTAAAACTGCTTGATTACTCCTTGATCTATTTAATGTTACCGAATTACACGCACACCACATTAAACGATCTGGCAACGATGAGGATCCTTCACCGATTATTTTTTAGTTCTTCCTACATAGCACCGTTTCAAGCTACTGAGTCAGTTATGTTAAGGGGAATTTAGCCCATTCTTCACGCTCATGAAAACCAGGTCTTCACCCAAGACATGCCAAGAGGTCAACCTCAGGCTGCTGAACCAGAAACAGTGCGACTCTTTTGTCCCAATTATTACTTTAGCGATTACGAGTGTGCTCATCCACTGCTTCCAATTTGGCTTTACTAGATGATAACCACCAATGAAACTTCTGGCACGCCTTGCTCACTTCACCCACCCCACCTGCGCCTCCGATGGTCCATCCCCTGAGGTGTTTCCCTCCATGAGGTTGCAAAGCTGCTTCCGTGTTTCCAGCTTCCTTTCTGGAATAACTTAGAGCACCAAGAGTAACCAACTCAAGGAGCCCTTGGAAAAATGGGATCTTCATGAACAGGCTTTCCTTTGTTCTGAATACCTATTTATTTTGTAACAAATGACACCCCTCTGGAATATGCACTTTGGGAGTCCATCATTATATTTCAAAACGAGGGTGTTGCTGAACTATATCATGCTTAGATTTGAAACAGGTGGATATTTTCTTACAGGTTCACAGGAAAATGCTGTGGGAGAAGGGGGGAGCATCAGACAGAAGCGATGTACAAGGAGAGCTTGGCTTGCTCATTCTAGAATGTAGCTGGGGTAGTTGTGCCTTCTGGCCTGATGGGGGAGGGGAAATGTCATGCCACTCATTAGACACTCACCTTGAGAATTTTTACCACCACTCTCTCATTGTTGGTAATGTTAATGGCCTCGAATACTTCGCTATACTTTCCCCGACCAAGTTTTCGAACCAGTTGGTAATCATCTTGATTACTGTGAAAGGCAAGAGGGAAACATAAATGCCAGGGCTTGGGATTGACCCAACCTAAGCTCCGGGTACCTGCCCCCCTCCCCCCACCCAGCCAGCCACTTCCAGTGTTCAAGCGCTTGGAAGTGTCCATCCATCAGGCCCCAACTCATTCCCTAAATGAAGGCCACAACACAAACTTGGCTCCCTCCACTCTGCCCAGAGCTCCTAACCTAATGGGTCCCTCCTAACTTGGAAAGAGGAGGTAGGAAGGTACCGCTCGGAGCCCATCTAGATGGGTGAGCACAGCATCCACCCGGGGCTCGCAGGGGTCTCCTCTGGCCGTAGAGCTACAGCACCTGCCCTGGTACACACCGCGCTTGCTCTGAGAATCTGAACGTCTTTTTAAAATTTCCTCCCACCCAGCCTCATTTCCAAAAAACTAAAAAGGCAGGGAATTTTAATAGCTCCAGCTGTTGACTTCCCACCCCAAAAGACACCCAAAAGTACGAGCAGAAGGGGCTGCTCCCTCCCTCCCACCAGGCCCTGGTCTCTGGACCCCACTCTTCTCCCCAGGCAGAAAGCATTTCTCGGGGTTCGGGAGGTAAAGGTGCGCACAGCGGGGAGAAAGGGACGGAAAGGGGGCGAGGGGGATGGGGAGAAGGCTCTGCCCCCCACCGCAGACCCGGGACGCGCGGGCCCACAGAGGACCGGGCGGGGCTGGGGGGGGGCGGCGAGGGCCAGGCGGGGGGCGGCGGCAGCTTTACCCCCAGCTCGGGACGTGAGCCTCATAGTCCCAGTACTCGCGGCTCCTCAGGCTGTTCACCTCGGCGTAGACCCGGGCCCTGCTGCCCGCGGCCGGACCGGGCATGGCGGGCGGGACCGGGGGGCGCCGCGGGGCGCCGAGGGCGGCGGCGCGGCGAGGGGCGCCGGGCGGCGGGCGGAGGAGGTGGCGGGCCGCGGGGCGCCGGAGGAGGAGGAGGAGCGAGACGGCGGGCGGCCACGCCAGGCCGGGCCCGCGGGGGCGGACGGGCGAGGGGCACGGGGGGCGCCGGCCGCGCCGGCCGGGCCCTGGAGCGGCCGGCGGAGCGGCGGGACTGGCGGCGCTCGCGCTCCGCGGCGGCCTCCGCTCGGCTCGTGGCCCCAAGGCGGCGGCGGCGGCGGCGACGGAGGCGGCACCGGCAGCGGCGGCCGCCGGCCGGGAAAGGGACGGCAGCCGCGGCGGCGAAGAAGGAGAAGGAGGAGGAGGAGGAGGAAACCCGGAAAAAGGGCCGCTCTCTCTAGGAGCGGCCGCCTCCCGGCCGGGACCGCCCAAGCTCACAGCGCCCCCTGCAGCGCGGGGGGACCCGCCGGGCGGCGCCGGCCCCGCCCCCGGCTCGGGCCTCGGAGACCCCCGCTGCGAAACTCGCATCCTCGGTCTGGCCGCCGGACGCGCTCACCTTCCCCCACCCACAGACTGCTGCTCTGGGCCTGAGCCTCGTGCACCCTTTGGGGACTGCCCGACCCCAAGCCCTCCGCCCGCTATTCATCTAGAGTTTACCCACCCCGACCTCCTGTAAGGACCCTGTTCTGACTGTTCCCATCAAGTCCCTTCCCGATGATTCACTCAACACTCAGAACCTCCCTCACCTTAAGATTTCGCCATCCCTCCCAGAGTCACCCCCTCCTCCCCAATGGGCCCTTCCCTGACACCTGTAGACTCATCGTCTATCTCAAGCCTCCCCCTCCCTTTTTCTAGAGCCTTCCTCACAAAACCCTTCTCTTTTACTTTCCCAAAAACCTCCTTCCAGCGCTTGCCTAAGAGCCGTCTGAATGTTCACTCCCTTTACTTAATTAAGCTGGCAACGGCCAGGTTGCTCACTGCGAAGTTCCTGTTTTCCCCCTTCGTAATTAAACAGCAATATGTGGGAGACACTTGGGGACTAGATAAACACCCTGGTTTGGTTTGGGAGGAGAAGTGCAAGAGTCCTGCCTGAAGGGACAGGCTAGGGGTCAGGCATGGACTGAGGGCCAGGTGGCGAAGCCAACTTTGACTATATTAATAACCTGGTGTCTTCTAGCTCCTAACACTCTTCTCCCTTCGATCTTCTGGGCCTTTCTTTTGTCTTGTGCTCCCACCCCTTATCACGAGCACTTCCTCACACAGCCCAGGTTGCTGTGACGCCAATCCTTTTTCACATTCTGTTTTGTAGATGAAACCCTGCTTTCTCTTTTTTGATATGGTGAAGAGGACAGACTGTAGAGTCAGATCCATTGAGGTTTGAACCCCAGCTCTGCTACTTAGAAGCTGTGTGGCCTTGGGCCAATAACTTAACCTCTCTGTGCTGCAGATTTTACAGCATAAAAAGAGTAGTGACACCTACTTCACAGGTCTATGGGGAGAATTAGACCCGGTAAACCCTGTGAAAAACACTTAGAACACTGTGTAGCAGACAGTAGGTGCTCAATATCATTGTCACCAGACCCAGGACTTTTCTCCTGCCATTTTCCCCTCCCTGAGACCATCACACGCCCTTCCAGTTCCTTGCATTCTGCAGGCTTGGCCACATCTACCTCCACCTTCACCTTGCCATCCTCGACTCCTTGTTCCTCTTTTTTTCTTTTTAATAATTGTATTTTATTATCATTATTATTTGTATGAATTCTCCCACAGAAATTCCCACTCGGCAAGCACCTTCAAAGTGCCCTGTGGTTCCAGTACATTATGTCACTTAATCTCCATCACACCCCTTGGTGGGAGTGGACACTGTCACGCCTACTTACCGAGAGGGGAATGGCAGCAGCTCAGAGCCCAGCCTGTTCCTCTTTTTTTTTTATAAATATTTTATTTATTTATCTTTAGAGAGGAAGGGAAGAAGGGAAGGAGAGAAACATCAATGCATCAAGAGTCCCCTGCTGGGAACCGGCCTGCAACCCAGGCATGTGCCCTGATTGGGAATCGGACGGCAGGTCCAATGTGGTTCGCAGGTCCGTGCTCAATCCACTGAGCTACACCAGCCAGGGCATTCCTTCAGGTCTCACCTTTAAGGTCACTTTCAGTGCTAGAGTTGATACTTCTCTGGTCACTCTATCCATATCCTTCAGAAAGTGGCATATTTTGGGGGGGGTGTTTGTTTGTTTTAAGATTTTATTTATTTTTAGAGAGAGGGGACGGGAAGGAGAAAGAGGGAGAGAAACACCAATGTGTGGCCGCCCCTCCCATAACCCCCGCCAGGGATCCAACTGCAACCCAGGCATGTATCCCGACTAGGAATCGAACTGGCAACCCTTTGGTTTGCAGGCCCATGCTCAATTCACTGAGCCACACCAGCCAGGGCGGAAAATGGCATATTCAGTGATTATCTCTTTGCCTCTGCCATTGTGAAAATAGCAGGAGAGTGCAGACTGAGTCAGCACGCTCATCCCTGGCTCGCCCAGCATTTGCCACAGCCGGAGGCTTTCAGTGCACACAGGGTGACCCACAGGTCACTTACCAATTCCAGAGGGGAACCTGGAGGTCATCCCTTTGACCATGAATCAAACTTACCTTCAATAATGGACCCCTGGGCCCTCTGACATGATGCACCAAGAAGGGACATGCCGTCTGCCAAAAATGCTTAACTTGAGTCTAATGACAATGACACAATCAGACAAATCCCAACTGGGGGACATGCTACAGAACAGCTAGCCTGCACTCTTCAAACATATCAGTGTTGCCAGAGAAGACAAAACTCTGCAGCAGCATCCTTGATTAAAGGGGCCTGAGAGGTACAACTAAATGAAGTCTATAATTCTAGATTTGGTCCTGGTTGACAAAGGCAGGAAGGAAAGGAGGGAGGGGGGAAGGGAAGGAGAAAAAGTACAGCTAAAAGAACACAGCACTATGGGGACTACGGGGGGGATGTGAGGAGATGTATGTGTACCTTACACAGTAGTATTGTCCAATGTCAAGAGTGTGAGAATTATACTGTGGCTATGCAGGAGAATCTCTTGGTCTTAGATGTTACATGGCACGTGTTTAGGGAAGAAATGCCAGTTATCTGCAGCTTAGCCTCCAGTGGTTCCCCAGAAAAACATGGGTTCCCATGAGCACAAGCAAGCCCAAAGGAGAGGGGAGCAACTCGGAGAAATGGTGATAAATGGAGAAGGCAGTTGGACTACATGAACGTGCAACATTTTGGCAGATTCGAAAAAAAATGTTTTAAATATGTTATTTATTTATTTTGAGAGCGAGGAGAAGGGAGGGAGAAAGAGAAGGAGAGAAACATCAATGTGAAAGAGAAGCATTGATCAGTTGCCTCTCTCGTACGAGACCCCACCGGGGACCAAACCCTTAACCCAGGCGTGCGCCCTGACCTTTCAACCTGGCGACACTCAACCCACTGAGCTGCACTGAACAGGGCAGATATGAAAATTTTCAAAGTGAAAACTGGAAGAAAAGAAAGCATTTGTGAAATAAGTGGACTTTGGAAGTTAATTCCCACAACCTGCAAACCTCTGTAAATCTCTGTCACACAGGAAGACATGAAAGTTCTCAATTTCTTTTTTTTTTTTAAGATTTTATTTGTTTATCTTTAGAGGGGAAGGAAGGAGAGAGGGAGAGAAACATCAATGTGTGGTTGCCTCTCATGTGTCCCCCACTGGGAACTGGCCTGCAACCCAGACATGTGCCCTGACTGGGAATAGAACCGTGATCCTTCGGTTTGCAGGCCCTCACTCAATCCACTGAGCTATGCCAACCAGGGCTTATTCTCAATTTCTTAATTTAGCTTTAGGATTTCCTGGCAAGTTCCTGCCAACTAGTCAAGACCAGAGGTTCTGAATGCTGAACCCTCGTATGAACTCTCTGGGTTCTGGGAACCCCCAACACCATGTACAAACTTTGTGGGTCAGTGTGCGTGCATTCTCTCCTTAGCATCCCCGAGGTCCTCAAAGGAGGCCATGACCTACAAATGGTTCCAAACCACTGGTCCAGCCCCGGCTGGGGCCCCACTCCTTGCCTCCACCCTCACCCACCTCTGAGTGCATCTGCCCTCCCTGCACCTTCCTCTTGTCCTGGCCACCTAACCCACACCCATCTCACGGAACCTGCTCCCACACCTGAAAGGGTGCCTGACGGTTCACCCACACACACTCTGGTGCAACGTGCTCCTGGATTTGGCTGACGCTTCACTAACTCAACCCTGAAACCTGCAGTCCGCCCTCCCACGGCCCAGTGGAGTATGTTTCTATGGTTTGTTGGTAAGTAGGTTGGGCACCCTATGGAATTGGTGAAGACCCACCACCCCTCCTTCCTCCTAGCTCACCATCAGTGTACTTGGTGTGAATTAAGATGGGCAATTAGAGATGGTGCCACCCATGCAACCCTCACTGAAGGAGTAAGTCTCATGGTGGCTTTGTGGGGGCAGGTGTGTGTGTGAAAGAGAGAGAGAGAGAGAGCGAGAGACAGGGCAGGGTGGTTCAGTGAACCAGAATCAACTTCCCCTAATTACTCTGTGCAGGGGGGGGGGCAGGGGCGGTGTGGGGGGTGTTTGGGGATGAGTGTAATTCAGGGTTACATAGGGGAGAGTGAAATAAGGCCTCATGAGTTGGACAGCCCAACAATTTTATACTAACACCGCATGTGACCCCAAATTCTATCCAAAGACCCTCCAAAAACAGAACAAAAACAAACAAAAGTGTTCAATCCTCAGAATACCTCTTATCTCTATAAGGCCCGTTTTCAAAATATTTAAGAGGTTTATAGGCCATGGCTGGTGTAGCTCAGTGGGTTGAGCTCGGGCCTGCAAACCAAAGGATCGAGGTTCAATTCCCAGTCAGGGCACATGCCTGGGTTGCAGGCCAGGTCCCAGCAGGGGATGCAGGAGAAGCAACCACACATTGATGTTCCTCTTCCTCTCTCCTTCCCTTCCCCTCTAAAGATAAATAAATAAATAAATAAATATGTATATAAATAAGAGGTTTATAGGCTTTTGTCTTGTATTGCTGGTTCTAAGAACCTCGCCTAAGGAAATAACGCAAATTATGGTCAAGGAATTATTAAAAGTAGTGACAACTTGTGTGTTTGATATCATTGAATCCTGCAAAAATCCTGAGGCCAGAAACCATTGAATTTATTTAAATGGGTGAATTGTATGGTATATGAATTATATCTCAAGAAAGTTGTTTAAAAGTTCTGTGAGAGCAGGTTTGTTGTCAGCATTGCCTTTTTTTTTTTAATGATCAAGTCCATCAATTCTAAGTCT